TCCACAGCAGTTATGTATGAGAAACTCCTGAAGAGCTGTATATTGAGCAAGGTGGCAAATTGCAGTGCAGGCAGCCTGAGGAGCCTGATCCATGTGCTCAGCTCCTCCTGGTGAGGCCAAATTCATCAGCCTTTCCCTGTGCAGGAACCTTTGGAGTGATCCATTGCAGCAGTATGTGCTCCTGGTATAATGAACACGCGATTGCAAACCACTATATGCCATATGGAGCCTCCAGAGTTCCCCATCATCCTTGTACTTGGGAGGGCAGTGCACCTGCTGCTTTCTGTTCTTCTGCCCCTCTTAGCAGCCCCTGGTTGCCAGATCCAGCCGTACATTGCTGTTCAGGTTGATGCAGCAAGAGCTGAGCGACACATCATCATCATAGAATCCCAGCTTGCTTTGTGCTGAAGGGACCTTACAGCTCATCCACCTCCAACCCCTGCCACGGGCAGGGACACCTTCCACTAGAGCAGGTTGCTCCAAGCCCCTGTGTCCAACCTGGCCTTGAACACTGCCAGGGATGGGGCAGCCACAGCTTCTCTGGGCACCCTGTGCCAGCCCCTCAGCACCCTCACAGGGAAGAGCTTCTGCCTAAGAGCTCATCTCAGTCTCCCCTCTGGCAGGTTCAAGCCATTCATGTAAGCTTTTCAGCTTAAAGCCATCAGCTACATGCAGGGGTTTTTAGGGTATTCTGTGGGTAATTATTAAACATGGTGAAAATATCAGGACCTGTGATGATTGATTCATGTCCTCAGAAAGGTACGGAATGCTGTATTCCCTTTTTGTGGAGCTGGAGTCCCAAAGAGATTGGGATTTCCATTTTTCATCCAGAGAATGCAGTGACCCTTTGCAGTGTACCAGCAGGCTGGGGGAGCAACCCCAAGGGAGATAAAAGCACCAGAAGTAGGTATCTCCTGCTCTGTTTTGAAAAACAAGTGCAGGTGAAGGTGGTTGTGGCTCTGGAGAGGTGTATAAATGATTTCTATGGATTTTGTCTGTATAGAGCCTGGTAGTAACCCTTTGATTCCTACAGCCCTTTTCTGAGCATCAGGCGTGTTCCTGTGTCAAATTTATTGCCTTTCTCCCAGTTTCTGTGGCTTTCCTCTCTCTTCAGTCCTGGGGGGATCCACACCAGATTTGGTTCTTGGTGATGCTGTTGGATTGCTTCAGAGGAGGGGCCAAACTGTTCACATTTACTGTCTGGAACAGACTCGGGGAGTGCATCAACTTTCTTCTACACAGCTTTGTGTTTGTGTTCAGATGTGAGATTCCCTTCCAGATCTGTGAATTAATCCAGTCATCTCTTCCGAGTGACATTGGCACTGCCTTTTTGCAGTTGGCTTGTCTTGGGGAAAGAGAGAAGGAGAGTAATGTCCCCTCAGTTGAGTTTGTTGCTATTTCCAAATGAGTTCTAGGAGTGTAAAAGCTCCATGTGGTTTCCCACTTCCACGTAGTTATCCTTAGCTCAGTGTGTCGCTGGGGGAAGCGAAACTGTTTCATCTCTGTAGATGCAGACGTGTTCACTCCTGTGTCTCATGGTGTGTTTTGATCTCTGTTTTCTCTCCAGCCCAGCTCTTTTAGGTAGCTCTGCTGGGTTTCTGCAGCCCTGGCCCCAGAAGGCAGCTTGCTGTCTGGTTTACCCTTTTCCTTTCAGCTTGACACACTGCTCAGCACCCACTCTGCATGCAGCATGTCTTCCTTGCAAGCCCTATCCTCAGCAGGCGTTTCCATAGCGTGGGAGTGGAGTGTGATGATGTCCCTCTGGTCTTCAAAGTGTGAAAAAGCTCTTTCCTCCGGGAATTCAACAACTGATCTTCCATCCGCTCGCTGCTCTGCTGTTCCCTTAGCTTAGCCCAAAACATTTGTGTAGGCTTTAACATAATTTATTCATCTGGCAACACACCCCAGCCCGCTTGCTTTTCTGTCTCAGGGAACCACAGAGCGGTTTGGGTTGAAGGGACCTTAAAGCTCATCCACCTCCAACCCCTGCCACGGGCAGGGACCCCTTCCACTAGAGCAGCTTGCTCCAAGCCCCTGTGTCCAGCCTGGCCTTGAACACTGCCAGGGATGGGGCAGCCACAGCTTCTCTGGGCACCCTGTGCCAGCGCCTCAGCACCCTCCCAGGGAAGAGCTTCTGCCTAAGAGCTCATCTCGGTCTCCCCTCTGGCAGGTTCAAGCCATTCCCCTTGGCCTGTCCCTACAGGCCCTTGTCCCAAGCCCCTCTCCAGGTTTCCTGCAGCCCCTTCAGGCACTGGAGCTGCTCTCAGGTCTCCCCTTCAGGAGCCTTCTCTTGTCCAGGCTGCCCCAGCCCAGCTCTCTCAGCCTGGCTCCAGAGCAGAGCTGCTCCAGCCCTCGCAGCATCTCCATGGCCTCCTCTGGACATTTAATGGTGCTGTTTCATTTTAACCTCTCAGCAAGGTGTGCACTACAGATGGTGGGAGACCTGTTGGGGTATCTCTGGAGGGTCTTCTGATTTAATCCCTGTTTATGGTGGTTTTCATTGTATGTAATGATGAAGGATTTTGTATCGGGTACAAAATGGTGAAGTATGCTTTAGTTTTGACTTGAACTGAAATCTTTGTGGTTAAATAGAGTTTGCAGTGCCTGCTTTTAAATCCATGCTTAGAAAAGGAGGTAGGAAGTGTGCAGGTGTATCAGACATGTATCTGGTTTGGGGTTTTGGGTTGGACAGTGGCAGGAAGAGCACACATGTCCAACCACTTCCTGCACGTCTGGCATCCCCAAGTGCTGTTTCTCAGATGGAGAAGTTCTGTCCACTTCAACCATTGCACCACTAATAATCCTTTCACAAGGAAGTCGTTATAAATCTGCTAATGAATCAGGTAACCTCTCAATCAGCTTCAGAGCAGCTCTCAGGCTGTTCATGACATGGTGTTATTTCAATCAATGTGTAGCTATTCAGGCACCTCTTAACTCTTCCCTTCATGGTCTCATTATAAGGATGAATGGGAAACATTAAGTCATCAGAAATCAACGAATCTGGTCTGGGAACACAGATGTTAAAATGCCTTACTTACAGAGATCCAGGCATCACACAGCTGAGCAGCATTTGGATCCCTGACCTGTGTGTTTCTGTAAGCTTAGCTTGTTTGGGTTACTTTTTAGTTCGGGCTGCGTTTTTTAGGGCACTTGAACCTTCTTTATAAGATATTTGCCTTTATATTGCTGGTGTGCACACTTAAACCTCAGCTCTAGTGTAAATCTGGCTGGGTATTCCAGAATTTAAGGAAAAAATCCCCACTAGAACCAGAAATGGCTTTACAGGTTTCTGCCAGCTTCAACAGCTGGAGAAACTCTGGTTGTTTTGAAGTGCTCACAGTGATAGTAGCTTCCAGTGAAGGGGGCCCAGAGAGGGGCTCTTCATCAGGGACTGTTGCAATAAACAAGGGGTGATGGGTTCAAACTGAAACGGGAGTTCAGATTGGAGATAAAGGCAGAAGCTCTTCCCTGGGAGGGTGCTGAGGCGCTGGCACAGGGTGCCCAGAGAAGCTGTGGCTGCCCCGTCCCTGGCAGTGTTCAAGGCCAGGTTGGACACAGGGGCTTGGAGCAAGCTGCTCTAGTGGAAGGTGTCCCTGCCTGTAGCAGGGATTGGAGCTGGGTGAGCTTTAAGGTCCTTTCCAGCCCAAATCAGTGTGGGATTCTATGATACCAGACTTGGTGTGAATTGTGGGGAAACACCTGGTGTGCCTGAGGGACGTGTTTGTTGCTCACTGCAGGTGCCGTCCTCCTGGATTAAACTCTGTGTTCTTTATAACAGATAAGAGCCCTTTGCACCAAGAACATCTCCCAGCACGGTTCGCTCCTTCCAGCTGTGGAATTTCTTCTTCCTTCGGGCTGTAACTTGCTCTGGGTGGCCCTGCCTTGGCAGGTGTTTGGGCTAGAGGGTCTGCAAAGGATTAGAACCTGAATGATTCTGTGATCATGACCCTTGCCACCAGCTGGCGGAGGGGCCTGTGGACCACTCCAAGGAATACCTCGTGCTCCAGGGTGCTGGAAGCTGAGCCTGTGTCTCTGTCAGTGGTGCGGGTCTGTGCCGTGCTCCGCGGGCTGGGAGAAGGCGGCCTGGTCCTTGCTTCGCTGCTGCACTTCTGTCATAATATTGACTTGCAAACGTAGAGCTTTTGGGCCAGTTGCTATGGTTACCTCTCAGCTCCCTGCATCTCGCAGTAGAGAGGAATAACAGGCAATACATTTCGAGCCTTAATGAAATGCACAGCAGTGTGTTCAACTTTGAAACCCAATGTGAATATCACTAAGCAACATCCATTCGTGATGTGCCGTAATTACTTCTGTTGGCTCCCGAGAATTGGAATGCTGGAGCACCAGCCAGTCTCTGCTGCATCAAACACGTTTCTCTGCCAGGAGCTTCACAGTGTCTCAGACGTGTGATGTTTCATAGTTCCTTCACAGTTTCAAAGAACTAAGTTTGACCTCTTTAAATTATTCACACCTTCAGACCAGCAACATCTCCAAAATCTCCAAAATCTCCTTTTGTGTGTTTCACCTTCTCATTCACTCCCAGAAACTGATTTTAAAGCCCTCTGATTCTTCTGCCCTAGTTCCTAAATGTGAATCTGAGTCTCTTCCTCCAGCCTGCTGCCTGTGTTTTTGGAAGCACCAATTCCCCCAGATCTGTGGAGCAGTGTTAGTGTTGGATTCAGACGTAGTTGGTGCTTGGAGCTGTTTGCTCCAGTAACTGCATTGGAAGAAGCCAGTGCCTCAAGTCTTTTGAGGTGTAGTTTTGTGCTAAGAGGCCGTAGTTAATGTCTGTCTTGAGCAATGCATCAGTATGAGAAGTAAACTAAACCCAGACACTGTTTATACATTCACAGTCCAGGCTTCAAGTCAAGTGATTGATTGCACCAGCCAGTGCAGTTGCAGTTGTTGAAGCAGTGGTGTTGTGCTTGCAGATCTCTGTGCCCTGGTTCTCTGCTCATCAAACTGATCTCCTGTATTCTCTTCTTATTTTCTATCTACAGCACCAGAGTTACCAGTCCTAGAGAGGAAGAACTGGTTGATCTACCTGCTGTATGTCCGCAGGGACTACGACGAGTGCAAGGTAGGAGCTGCTCGTAGGACTTTGCATTAGGAAGTACTTTACTGATGTAATGAGTGATAGTTTTCATACCACTTATCAAAGCACCCTCTTTCCTGACTTGTTCTGGAATAGGGACCAAGAGAAAATACAAAACGATGATAACAACAGTTCTATAGTGCAGGTCTCTTGATGGTACTACAGCAAGACCATGAAAAACACTCTGATTGAGTAAAACATCACTGCCAAGCCTAAAAAGAGAAATCTCGGTTACCTTTGAACAAAATTCTTTCATTTGTGTGTTGTACATTGCACCTTTTGATTCCTCCTGGCTTGGTGGGTGGCGGGGAACTGGTTGTTCAGGATTATAATGACAAGTGGAGTAAGGAAATGGCAAATCTAGTATTAAGCAGCGTGTTTTCCTGCTAAAATGAACAGGAGCTGTTGAAGCGGATTGCCAGCGGGCAGGTGGGGGGCACGAAGAGCTGGCTTTCTACTTCTGTCATGGGCAAAGAAGAGCTGAAGAGACTTTTTGCTTCTGAAACACCGCGGTTGGTCAGGACTTGTCTCTGCTGGAGAACTCCTGGGGGCAGCTGGAGTAAACTCATTCAGCTCTTACTTAATGGAGCTGGAGGGTTGTATCATCAGCAGTCTTGGTTTAAATAGATACAAACAAAGGCTGGGCCAGCAATCCAAATGGAAAATTGTTTCTCTTTTCTGTTCATCTGACTGCATTTGTTTGGTCTCTGTGAACAGTCACTGTTTCTGTGATGTGATGTGGAATCACAGCGTGCAGAGATGTATGGCTCAGGGAAACAGAACAACCAAGTGGATGACATAATGGCAACATTGACTTCTCCATGTCCTCATCAGTCACGGCAGCAAACAAAATGGGGAGGGGGGGTGGGAATTGGGAGAAGTCAGCTTTTACTTGGCAGGCCAGCTTCACAGTAGCTGTAAAAATAAAAGGCAGCAAAGCCTTTACGCAGGGCTCACAAAGGAGGGTCCTTGCAGTAAATATGAACAAGTTTGGCCATACAGACCATAGCAGGTTGAATGGTCTTCCATCCTTTCCCCAGATGTGATGGATGTATGCTCAGAGGTCTGGATTTGACACGGATAAGATGGGAACCTCAGGCTGCTTCATCAGTCAGTGGGGGTCGATAGGCATGTCCAGAAGGCAGTTCAGGTCTTAGGTGGGCTGAGATGCTCTATGGTAGTCTCTGCCTTGCTCTACTGGTGTTACATGGGATTACGGATCTAAGCTGATGCCCTGGATGCTTGCACATGTTAAGTACAGATGTAAGTCCAGAGGAGGCCATGGAGATGCTGCGAGGGCTGGAGCAGCTCTGCTCTGGAGCCAGGATGAGAGAGCTGGGCTGGGGCAGCCTGGAGAAGAGAAGGCTCCTGAAGGGGAGACCTGAGAGCAGCTCCAGTGCCTAAAGGGGCTGCAGGAAAGCTGGAGAGGGGCTTTGCACAAGGGCCTGTAGGGACAGGCCAAGGGGAATGGCTTTAACCTGCCAGAGGGGAGACTGAGATGAGCTCTTAGGCAGAAGCTCTTCCCTGGGAGGGTGCTGAGGCGCTGGCACAGGGTGCCCAGAGAAGCTGTGGCTGCCCCATCCCTGTCAGTGTTCAAGGCCAGGTTGGACACAGGGGCTCAGAGCAAGCTGCTCTAGTGGAAGGGGTCCCTGCTTGTGGCACAGGTTGGGACTGGAGGAGCTTTAAGGTCCCCTCCAACCCAAACCAGTCTGGGGTTCCATTATTCCCAAACATGCTATCTGGGGATAATAGCTTCAAAATGAAGAAGGTTATTGACAGTATCCCCAGTGGCTTAAATTGCTATTATCTCCTTGATTTCAGCATAGTTTGGGCATTCGTTAGAGCCCATTAATTTTCTTTTAAGACTCAGCTACGAAACCAATAACCCGTGATGTTATTCATTTGGGTCTGAATTTTGCTAGATCCTCTTTCCCACTCAGGGCATTGAAATGCTTTCTCTCTAACACTGTTTAAAACACTCCCCTATTTTTCAATGATGTAGAAGGCCAAGAAAAAGCTGTTTATTCACCAAAATTGCTTCCTTAAAGTGAAGGCATTAAATTGGTTTTACCCCTTATAGTGCCACTCCCGCATCCATTCTGGTGTCACCAAGCTCTTGACAATGTTGCTGTGCTCCTTACAGCTAGAGATGACTGATGCTGGGTGGTTGATTTGCCTCTCCTTGTACCCAGTGTATGTAAAGCTGCAGCATCCTCTGTGACTGCACAGCCAGGCCGGGGGGAGAGCAGGGACAGGCCCTGAACATCACTCAGCTCTCTGCTCCCACATCAGTTCCAGCTCTGCTCTCTTCTGCTTCTGCTGTGTGCAAGGAAGGAGTTATTAAAATTACCAGATGCTTTACAATCCCTCGTGCTGGTTGGTCTCCTGCCAGCATCTGAATTCTGTCGGTTAAATAAATCTGGGAGGAAAAGCTGGGATTACACATCATATTTCTCAGCTCAGGGCCTTTTGCTCTGGGATATTACAGAATTAGGCAGATCTCTCCGAAAGATAGCTCTCTATTGCCCTCTCTTGCTCTGAGAACCTGGGTTTATGTAGATGGAGCAATAGAGAGTATCCATATTCAGGAGATGCTTGGTTATATCTGAGTTGAATGTCCTGTAATAATGGACTTTGTAAAGAGTATTATAAACATATCTTAGCAGATATAGCTCCTACCTTAATGTACTTTATAAAGGGTATAATGTAGATCTGTTAACAGATACAGGTGAGCAGTTTCAACTTGTTATTCCTTCTCCTTCCTCTCTTTAGTTTTCTTTTGACAAAGTGCACATTGTCAGTAATAACCCTCCTTGTCTTCATTCCACTTTCCTTCTGTGAGCTGTATTTGAAGTTCAGTTTTCCTCCTTGTTATCAGGTCCTTCCCTTTTATTTGGCTTGGAGGCAGGGGATGCTGGTGCTGATCATACACCAGACAGGAGTGCTAGGTGAGCACCACCTTATTCCTGGCTCAGAAATCTTTCTTTTTCCCCTTTATCTCTTCCACTCTGAGCAGAGGAGGAGTCTTGGAGCAGAAATGATGTTCTCAGTTCATAGTCAGAGCCCTCATCTTCCCAAAGGTCACTTACTCTGTTGATCAGTTTTAGTTTCAGATCACGTGTGACTATGGAATAATGCCAAACTGTGCCCCCCCCAAGCCTGTCACTGCAGGAATGCAGCCAGCAAAAACTGACATTTTCATCAGTTTACTTTTCCCCCCCTTCCTTTTCCCTTATACCCCTCATTTGCTCATTTGACTTCCATTGACACAGCTGCAGTTGCTCCAATTCAATTTATTTCTTCACAAATGGCTGGAAGCAGATACCCATATCAGCAGAGGATGCTTCCAGAGATTCCTTGGGGCACTTTCCATGTAATATCTAATTAATTTTGTCCTAGGAAATGCTACAAGGGCTGCAGTGTTCCTGGCACAGTGCTCTTCACGTGCAGTGGTGAGCTTGCACTCCTCTGTGCCCTCCTGTAGTTGTCCCAGCCACAGCCCAGTGCTGTTGTTACAGGCAAGGTTGTGTTTCTGTAACTGTCCTTAGCTTTCTTAGAATGATGGGAGTTTGCAACTTACATAGCAGATAAATGTAGTATCTTACAGCAACTAGCTACAAATTCTGCATGCATACTGACTTTCCCAAGCATTTAAATGCATTTTGTAGTTCTGTGTGATACCACTGTCACCATCCCGTAAGGAAGAACTGTGTCCATCAGTGGGGCGTGTGTTGTTTAAATTCAAGCTTTTTTAAGGCATTCTGCAGTAAGCACAGATACAGCACAGCTCTATGTAGCCCTTCCACAAAATTCTCCAGATCAAGGTTGCAGAAGGCACTTGGCCAGCCAGAAATCTGGTTTTGTGCACAGAGATTACCTTTATTGCAATATTTATAGGCTTTATTGTCTGCTGGAAGCTGATGCTGCAGTTCAATGATGGGGGAAGAGTAGAGCAGATAGAGGGCTTCTCAGTGAGGAAGACTGTGATTGAGTTGTACTCTCTGTGCTTTGTCATTCCAGGCTCTCATCAAAGAGCAGCTGCAGGAGTCTCATGGGCTGTGTGAATATGCAGTCTACGTTCAAGGTACGTTGCAGGACACCTCTGGAAGTCTGAATGTTGCTCAAGCAAGTTCTGATTTGAGATACAGCAACAGTAAGAAGGGGACAGGTGACAGAAACGTACAAAATTAACATGTCAAAAGTATTTGGCCTAGTTTTGAAGTTTATGGTTTGCACAATGGGAGATGAGATTTTCTGTGTTCTCTGTATCGATGCGTTTCTCATCATTTCCTCCTTGGACTATGGGCACTTGGCCTTCATTGTGTTGGATGGGGTGTTTGATTGTATTACAGAAGCATGTTTGCTGTTAGAGCTACCTGCCTCGGGTGATTGTTCTCTTATTGTTTGCTTAAGGGATGGTATTCCTCCTCCTGTCCTCTGCCCCCTAAAAACTGTGCCCCAAAACTTGGTGTTGCAATTTAAAATGCTGTGGTGGGGGCTGCAAGGATTTGTTGGCCAAGGCCATACTGCAGCCCATAGAAGTTAGGGTTTAAAGCTGCCTTTATTCTGAAACCCAGCCATTTTTCCAGACACACACAAGTCCTTTGATTGTGTTTTGTTCTGCCCTCAAACACAGCATCTGCCTGAGGTTGCTGCAGGAGGGAGAAAGACCGAATGAGTGTTGTTATATCCATACTCCCCCTTCTTCCCCTGCTGTCAGGGAAGCACAGTTTTCCTGCACACAACAGACTAATTTGCCTGGTATACGTTGTCTTTACAGCTTTGATATTTCGCTTGGAGGGGAAGATTCAAGAATCTCTTGAACTTTTCCAGACATGTTCCATTCTGAACCCCCGAAGCACAGACAACCTCAAGCAGGTGGCACGATCACTGTGAGTGCTGGTTTGTTGTTTCTCTTTGATGAGCCACGCAGGACTCTCCATATTTGTTTTTTGCCCTGTCATCAGGTGAAATCCCAGGCTGCTGAATTCCAAACATGCTGACTCCTTATCAGCACTCGAATTGGTTTCCAGAAGCATGGGCTACCCTTAGAAGCAGAATCTCTGTTATCTGCCTGGCTGCTGTTGTACTTTCTTTTTCTTTGTGCTTTAAGCAAGAGGAGTAACATGCTGGTTTCTAGGTCCAGAGCTAAGGGAGCTGACCTGACCTGTGTGAACTTGCCCTACAGACCCCTTTCTGTCTCTGAATGTCTGGTTTAGAATCAGAATCTCAGACTGGTTTGTGTTGGAAGGGAGCATAAAGCTCATCCAGTTCCAAATACCTGCCACAGGCAGGGCACCTTCCACTAGAGCAGGTTGGTCCAAGCCCCATCCAACTTGGCCTTGAAAAAGTTCTGGTGTCCTCAAAACAAAAGGGGCATGGAACTGTTGGAACAAGCCTAGAGGAGGCCACGAGGATGCTCAGGGGCTGGAGCACCTCCCGTATGAAGACAGGCTGGGAAAGTTGGGGCTGTTCAGCCTGGAAAAGAGAAAGCTGCGTGGAGATCTCATAGCAGCTTCCAGTGTCTGAAGGGGGGCTATAGGGATGCTGGGGAGGGACTCTTCATTAGGGACTGTAGCAATACGACAAGGGGTAACGGGTTCAAACTGAAACAGGGGAAGTTTATATATTATTAGGTATAAAGAGAAGTTCTTTACTGTGAGGGTGGTGAGGCACTGGAATGGGTTGCCCAGGGAAGCTGTGAATGCTCCATCCCTGGCAGTGTCCAAGGCCAGGCTGGACAGAGCCTTGGGTGACATGGTTCAGTGTGAGGTGTCCCTGCCCATGTCAGGGGGGTTGGAACTGGATGATCTTAAGGTCTTTTCCAACCCGAACTATTCTATGATTCTATTCTGTGATTCTATGAACACTGCCAGGGATGGGGCAGCCACAGCTTCTCTGGGCACCCTGTGCCAGTGCCTCAGCACCCTCACAGGGAAGAGCTTCTGCCTAAGAGCTCATCTCAGTCTCCCCTCTGGCAGGTTAAAGCCATTCCCCTTGTCCTGTCCCTACAGGCCCTTGCAAAAAGTCCCGTTCCAGGTTTCCTGTAGCCCCTTTAGGTATTAGACCACTCTTTTTCCTTTGAGACAAAGGCAGACTTCAGAGCCTGTGAATTCATTCATCGCATCTCCAGTAATGCGAGGCTGTGCCTCAGCATCTCTCAGGATTGATGGCCTAGCCCCGGAAGGGAGCAGGAGTCAGATTGTAATATTGCTGAGACTGTAAACTCAGGGCTTCTCGTGCAGGTCTCTGGAGAGCCAGCAAATAGCATCATTTCTCACTAGCAGAGGTGATAGTGGTTGCACAGCAGGGTTTCAAAGCAATTAACAATAAAACCTGAAATGCTTTTGCAGGTTTCTTTTGGGGAAGCACAAGGCAGCCATTGAAGTGTACAATGAAGCAGCTAAACTCGATGAAAAGGACTGGGTAAGTGTTTCAGTGAGGTGCAGGCTGCTGGAGTGCAAGATGTTTCTGTGGCTTTATGAAGACATCTGCAAATGTGTTCCAAGCAGAGGTGAGCTCAGCCTGAGCAGATGAGGAGCTGCAGAGCTGCGAGGCATCGCCTCTTAGCCCAGGCTCCCAGGCATGGCTGAGCCTCTGCAGTGCCTGCTTGGGATCACAGGAGCAAGGCTTCCTTTCTGCCTGCAGATCCCACACCTTGTCTGGGCGCACAGAGAACCGAGCAACATGTTTGGGCCTTGCAGAGTGTCAGTGCTCACATAGCCATGTTTATACCTGAAGGAAAGGATGGGATGAGCTCGCTGTTTGGAAACCCTCAGGTAGCATTAAAACTTGGTTGTGTAACTGGGAAAGCTTTGTAATGCAAAACACCACTGAAAAGGTTGTCCTCAAACTGGCTGCGAGGGTTACTTGTTACCTACCAAGCATTGCCTGTTTTGGCAAAATGTAGGCTGATGCTAAGGAGCGGTATGCAAATTCAACCTCCTAAACAGGAAGACAAAAAAGGAAGGAAGAGCATTGCAAAGGGAAATGTGTGACCGTGGGCAAGAGGAGAAAGGACGTGGCTTGCAGTTAGTTGTGGGCAGCCTTCTGCAGGGGCCTGGTTTGCCTGCGGCAGTGTTGTTTCCAAGATAGACTTGGTACATGTGATCTCATTCCTGAAGATACCAGGCACTCAACTGACTTTGGCAGTGCCTTTGGTGTTCTGAAGATTCAGACCTGATACAAGGATGGGTTTGGTATTATTCAACTTATCCTGTGCCAGTCAACTCAAACCTTTTATACAGTGGGTCTTCTTTCAAGTCTGCGTTCCCTTCACTGACCAAACTACCTGCAGTATGTGCTTGACACCCTATAACCCTCCTTACAGCCACAGCAGGCAGACTTTGGTGGGTACTTCAGTTAGTTATTTCCTGTGCTTTCCCATGAAAGGAGAGCCAGCCTGTGCCCTTCCTCATGCCATCTCGTTGTGCAAGCTGCAGTAACCGGGAGTTACTGATTCATTACTGTTCTACACAGCTGGAGAGGAAAACACCATTCTAAGAGGGTTAATGGGGAAATAAGAGAGTTTCCTTTTAAAGGTCAAGGCTGTCTAAACTGATGAAGCAGTGAAAGGCTTACTGGAACGGAAAGGAGGAACTCTAGTGGACCTCGCTTTCAGCTTCCCAAGATGGGCCAGGTAGGGAAGGTGTCAAGTAGCTTGTCTGTTAAACTGAAGAATTAGAGGTGTGATTGTTCCCTGCAGTGTCATCAGAGTGTTTGGGATCCCTAAGTGATCTTCCTACTCTATTGCTAAATGGTTTAAGATGCCAGAGGGGTATCAGCTCTACCAATGCTCAACTTCTAGTTTGGAAAACTAGGCACGTCTCCCAGTTTTGCCCAGCTGTGTGCAGCAGTGAGTGTATCGCAGTGACTGTACAGCTACACTGAGAGCCACCCATAAGGGCAACTTACTGAGCTTCAGAGACCTCACTGGGAACTGAATCACATCTCGGTGAAGAAACCAGTCTTTGCTCCTTGTTCTCCAAAGACCTGTCATCATTTCTGTGTTGTTCGTCTCAGTGGCCTGGAGTCTGTGTGCAATCACCATTAAGCTTTGTAAGTTCCTGAAGTAACTTGAATTTATAGGTTTACTTGATCTACACAGCAAGAAGGGTGTGTCCAGGCACAGGGCTCATCCCCATGACTGTTATCACTGGCAGATTTTGTAGCTTGTGTTTCACAGAATCACAGAATCCCAGCCTGGTTTGTGTTGGAAGGGACCTCAAAGCTCATCCAGTTCCAACCCCCCTGCCACAGGCAGGGACACCTTCCACCAGAGCAGCTTGCTCCAAGCCCCTGTGTCCAACCTGGCCTTGAACACTGCCAGGGATGGGGCAGCCACAGCTTCTCTGGGCACCCTGTGCCAGCGCCTCAGCACCCTCCCAGGGAAGAGCTTCTGCCTAAGAGCTCATCTCAGTCTCCCCTCTGGCAGGTTCAAGCCATTCCCCTTGGCCTGTCCCTACATCCCTTGTCCCAAGCCCCTCTCCAGGTTTCCTGCAGCCCCTTCAGGCACTGGAGCTGCTCTCAGGTCTCCCCTTCAGGAGCCTTCTCTTGTCCAGGCTGCCCCAGCCCAGCTCTCTCAGCCTGGCTCCAGAGCAGAGCTGCTCCAGCCCTCGCAGCATCTCCATGGCCTCCTCTGGCCTCGCTCCAACAGCTCCACGTCCCTCTTGTGCTGCTGCCCCAGAGCTGGATCAGGACTGCAGGGGGGGTCTCCCCAGAGGGCAGCAGAGGGGCAGGATCCCCTCCCTGAGCTGCTGTTCATGCTCTGGGGGTGCAGCCCAGCACACGGGGGGGTTCTGGGCTCAAGGACACACTGAGCCCGGGTCATGGGGCCCTTTTTGTAATGCTTGTTTGATTTTGTTTTCATACAGGAGATCAGCCACAACCTGGGTGTCTGCTACATGTACCTGAAGCACTTCAACAAGGTAATGGAAATGCTCATCGTATCTCCCTGGTGAATGGGAAGCAGGTTCCCAGGAATTTCCCCTTCTTTGGTAGTTGGAAGTGGATCATTTGCAGAGATAGGCATCAAGGAAGTTTTTTGCTTCAGTGTTTGTTTCTGGGAGCAAAGGTTTGGGAGCTGCCTCTGCTTTCATTGCCTGTTGAGTTACTTTGAGCCAGCTGCAAGGCAGTGAAGTTGGATGGTTGTGGAGTGGAGGCAGGCTTGTTGCAGGTCGGGAGGCTTGTCCTGAACCAGGATTTTTTTCAGGGGCTGTTTTAAAGGGTATGTTTGAGAAACCTGAAAGAGCCACCTGAAACTAGACAGAAAACCAGCTGTGCTCCAACAGGGGCACCTTCTGTTTCTGAGCCTGTCAAAACCAGAGCCATGAACACTGCTGGTTTTGTGAGGAGCAGCAATCCTTAGGGTGTGCCAGTTCCGTCTTCATGAGGAAAAAAGGGGGATGGTTAAGACCCAAACCATTTCCCCTGCATACAGATGCAGCTTGTGCAGAGAGTTTCAGAAGAAAACTTGCTGTCCCCTGGGTCTGCCAGGATTCAGAGAGAAGAGTCATGGGGTTGGTTTGCTGGAGGTGCAGCAGGCTCTTTTCGTCCTCCATGGAAAGGATTTGCTCCTGTATCCAAAGCTTCTCTTGCACCAAGCCTGGAGCAAAAGTCACCCAAGAGCATAGCTGCAGTGTGGCAGCACTAACACTGTTAGCTTTGGAGCTCATCAAAAGCTTGGAAGCTTGAAAGGGCATTTTCTTTCCCAGGTCTGAGCATGCCATTCCCAGTTCCTCATTTAACCCTCCCCTAGGTGCTGGGGATGAGCACTGAGCTGTCTCTGACCCTCTGGGGTTACTTTGTAAGGGAAAATCCAGCATTTAGAAACCTTTAGTTCCCAATTTGGCCATGCTGCTTTCTGCTGCTCTTTCTGGTGGAGTGCTGTGGCCCTTGCAGCAAACCCCTGCTGCGTTCTGTGTTCGAGGCAACCAAGCAAGAAGCTCTGGAGTGCAGATTCATACTTGAGATGTGTTGCCTGCACTGACAGCTTCCAAACTTCCAAACTGCTGACACCTTGTCTGAGATGTACTGGTCACCATGGGCAGCAGTACTTCCATGAGGACATCTAAAATATAATGAAGCCTTCAGGGACGACTCTTCAGTAGGGGCTGGTAACAAATACCCTGTATTGCAGAATTCCATTAGTGTGACAGCATTTCTCTCTCTAATATATCATGTGCTCAGAGACAGCAGGATGCTGGCCCAAGGTGGCAAGATGATATGCTTCCAAGTGTCTCCTATTGGAGGGGATCAGTGTGTGCCTGACAAGAGCTGATTCCCTCCTCTTGTTTACTTGGCAATCCACGCTCGTTGCTGGAATAAGCATTTTAGCAGAGGATAAACTGTAATGTACCTGTTAACCTCACAAATCTGGAGCTTCCGGCAAGCCAAACATGTTTGAATACAGGAACAGGCCCATGCTCCTCTCCTCCCTGGGAGGTCATTGCCTCTTGCCTTGGCTTGAAGCACACTGCGTTGCCTTCTGCTGTCCCTGCAAGTGTGTGGCTCCTGGTACAGGACTTGTTTCAACAGTTAGCTGGCTGGGTTCTGCTGGCAGGCTCTCCGAGCTCAGGGGGTGGTGGCTGTTCTCTTCACTGGCTGCTGGGGGTTGCTCCTGAGCTGTTGCTTCCCTGCGGTCTCTGTAATCACTTTTTACTTGTTTTTATTCTCTGTGGCTGTGTGTTTAGGCACGAGACCAGCTAAACAATGCCCTGGAGCTCAGCAGACATGATCTGACTTACATGATGCTGGGGAAAATTCACCTATTGGAGGGGGAGATGGAGAAAGCCATTGAAGTCTATAAGAAAGCCGTAGAGTAAGAACATATCCTTTTTTTCTATCTGCCCATGTCCCATCCTGTACCAGGAGGAACTTGATTGATGTCCCAGGTCTGAATTGAGGACATGATTAAAAAGGCAATGGTGATTATGGATTACCAGTGATGGTACAGTGGATCCTCTGTGCAAAGCTGGCACTTTCAGGCTCTTCAGCTGTCTCTGCTCTCAGCTGTAGTCCTGCTCCTGCTGACAGTGCGTCAGGGAGAAAAGGTAGATGTTGGAAGGGCCACCAAAGCAAAAGTGGAAAACCAAATGGACTGAGATGCCTGGGAGCAAACCTATCCAAACCTGACTTTATCCACTAAAAAGGCGGAACCTGGGTGTCTCTCTAACCCTGATTCTGTCAGAAATCAGTTGCTGGGTTTTACATGCTGTTTTCACTTGGAATGATCTGTGTTGGAGAGCGGGTGAGTAGGCAAGGACACGATGGGGTGGTGGACAGGGAGCTTCTCCCACCCCCTCGCTGTTTCTCAGTACTGATCTGTCTTGGGTTAGGGCATTCCTGAGCATCTGATTTACCAGTGCTTTTAAGATGTAGTTCTGTAATGGAGACAAACACTAAAGAAAAGCAGGGGCATGTCAGAAGCCACTGGAGGATCTACATTCTGTACAGGCTCTTTCCAGGCTGCTGCTTTACACAGCTGCTGTTGCACATCTGACCCAATGTCAGACGTATTGTACCCAATAGGTCTGACAGTGTATTGGGTTGGGAGAACATTTGTACTAATCCAGAATGTTTATTACGTGAATAATCCTTGCTAAGCATCTTACCAGGTTGATGTCTCTTTATCTCAGTGCTCCTCTGCCCTCCCTTCTTCCTCACTCCTCTGTTTTTCTGAGGTTTTTTGTGTTCTCATCTGCCTGCCGTTACCAGCTCCAGGACAGACTGTTGTTGCTCTGTGGTTACTCAACAACAGGCACAGGCCACTTTGTTCTGCTTGGGGTGTAAAGGTGCCAGTGTAAGTGTGTATATTACATTTCATAAGTCTTGATAACAGGGAGCTGAAAACTTCCTTCTTTTAAGGTGAGGGAGGCCACAAATAACAGTGTCTCTTTCTGCTTTTTCTTTTTTGTTGTTCTTTTCATCCTGTTCATGTCTTCAAAAGCTACTGGGAATGGGGATGCTTTTAAAAGGGTTCACAGCATTGCTGTGTGAACTCACACAGCAAAGGATGGGGAGCTGCACACAGTAACTGAAAGCCCTTGGGACATATTTTGTCAAGCTTCTCTGTGCTGAATGGACTGATGTGTATGGCCAGGGTTACATTAACAAGTAGTGCCTCTCTGAGCACTCTGGTCCACAGCTGGTCTGTGACACCAGGTTTGTAATCATTTCATAGGGTGAATTAAAAGTCTGATGTTGAGTGTGCGTAGGTTCCATCAGAAATGCTGAAGATTGCATGTCCTACATGGCCCAGGAGGCTTAGGATGGTTTTACAGCTTGGTTTATGGGAGACTGTGGAAAATCCCATTTTCTATTTCCAGGTCACTGATGCAGACTCACACTGAAGCTTAACAAAACCACATTATCTTCTTATGCATCCAGTTCTGTTTCACAGAACTCTGTCGCCTTCTCATTTGTAAAGAGATTTTGAAAGCTTAGGTGTCCTATCCCTCAGATGAAGCCCCCATGATGACAATTGTTCTAATGTTTGTATTTAGTAATAACAGTTAATTTCCTGGAGTGAAATGATGTCTATATCACTCTCTATGATGCTATAATGTAGCATCACAGCTCCATGGTCTGGTTTTACCTTGTTCTAGCAGTGCTAATAAGCAACCAGCTCTGGCTTTTGTATTGCAGGTTTTCCCCGGAGAACGCAGACCTCCTTACAACACTGGGGCTGCTGTACTTGCAGGTACTGAAGCTGTTCTGAGGAACTTAGTTACTGTCAAAATGATCCAGGGTTTTTTTGTCCACCTGCCCATGACTTGCACACGGTTCTCTGAAGCCTGCCCTCAGCACGACAGAGCTTGCTTTTCTCTCTCTTTTTCCCTTTTGCCACTAAAAGCAAGTTGATTTCCTGGACCTGAGCCAAGGCAGGAATTCTGTTTGGCAACCAGCCTAATTCTGTTATAAATCCTCCAAGTATAACAGAACATGACTAGTCATTACCTTGTTTCTGGAGCAGGAGTCTAGCAAGTTATTGTCCTGCAAAAGCAGCCATGAAATTGTTAGTGCTAACACACCGTGGAAGGGAATGGGAATCGATTTAAATAACAAAGGAATGCTTATCACTCGGGTCTGTAAAATGTATGGGAAGGACTGTCTCATTACTCCAAAAGTAAGCTTCCCACAAGCAAAGAATAGGCCGTAGTGCCTGAAAGGATTGATGGGCTGGAAATCTGGCACCAAATGTGGATTTGGAAAGATCCTTGAGCATTTCATAGAATCATATTGTGGAGTGGTTTGTGTTGGAAGGGACCTTAAAGCTCCTCCAGCTCCAACCCCTGCCACGGGCAGGGACACCTTCCACTAGAGCAGCTTGCTCCAAGCCCCTGTGTCCAACCTGGCCTTGAACACTGCCAGGGATGGGGCAGCCACAGCTTCTCTGGGCACCCTGTGCCAGCGCCTCAGCACCCTCACAGGGAAGAGCTTCTGCCTAAGAGCTCATCTCAGTCTCCCCTCTGGCAGGTTAAAGCCATTCCCCTTGTCTTTGTTTAGATGCTTGAGAGTAAAATGTAGATCTTGAAAAAAATTGCCTTGCTCCAGAGCTATGGAAATTCAGTAGGAGCTTTGGATGTCTGAGGTGGCTGTGTGTGGATATAAAGGGGAGTATGACGTGGGAAGGGGGATCTGTAAGATGGAGTTAGCACGAGTATAACGTTCACCCTGTGAATTTAGCTGCCAGGTCTGTGCTGTGATTCATTTGTTCAGTTTGTCATGCCTCTGGGTACATGCTCACCTTCAGGAGTGTTAAAGATGCTTCTACAGCTTTCCCACTTGCTGCTAATTACAGAAGGTGCTAGACTTGGATGCGTCAGTACAATTGCTGGCGTGACAGATGGGCTTCTCATCAATTTTTGTGACCAAAAAAGGACACCAGTATCCAGAATTTTATCCTGTTTGGACTGGTATAATTCTGGCATAACTCAGTTGAAGATTGTAGGATTTATTTAAGTGATTCTAAAGAGTCATCTGCTTTTATATGGGCAAAGTCATGCCCACTAACACTTGCAGCCTGTTGGAAGACAAGGGAGGACTTCTCCTTCTTAACCCCCTTAGTCCTGTATTTCTGATGCTTATTTACTTCTTTTCCCAGCTTGGGGAGTACCAGAAGGCTTTTGAACACCTTGGGAACGCACTTACTTACGACCCAGGCAACTACAAGGTATGAGGAGTGGAAATGAACCAGTGGAATGATGATGAGACACCTCCTAAAGCTAATTCCAGTATCAGAGCTTTGCCATCCATAGCGAGGGTCAGTCTGGAGAGGCTGACAAGGATCATACCCAGAAGGCTTTCTTTGAAGTACATGTCTGGGACCTTTCCCTGGGCAGGGAGTTGGATGTGTGTGGAGGTAGGGAAAGGGGAAGAAGCAGAATATGGGATATTAAATTGATCCCTTTGATTTCTAATCTGAAGTTGCAGCAAAACCAAGTGGAATTTACTTTGGAAGGCAAGTCTTCTAGAAAGTGTTTCCAAAATTCCAAGAGCTGTGCCCAGGTCCCTCTGACTCTAAGCACAGAGCACAGATACAGGTGGTGTTGCATTCTGCTATTCCCCCATCTGCTAATAACCCTGTCTGTGCTTCCAGCTGTTGGATACAAATGTGCCTTTCCTTGCCTCCGGTTTGGAAAGCTGAGCTTGGCGTCTAGTTTTCCTCCCTGATTGTGAAACTGCTTCCCTTTTTAGACATGTTACTTCATTCCTGTCTGCTTCTTCTCCCCTTCTGCACGATGCTAACAACGGGGAGTACTGAAACGTGCGGCTGACAAACGAGACACGAATGCAAGGCAAATGTTATTGTGCAAACACCTTTACACTTACAAATCTGACGTGTCACTGTGAAATACTAGAAGGGCCTTCTCTAATGTGGTTTAAATAAATGTGTTGTCATTGCTTGCTTTTCCCCACATGCATATTTCCATGAATTTTCAGTCTCAGGCAGGCAGTGTGAACTAGGCTGGCTTTGCTGCGGGTGTCTTGCTGGAGCGTGTTTTGTTCTCCAACTTCACTTGCACCAGCACTATTTCTCTCTGTGCTTGTCAGTAAAAGGAACCTATCTAGTGCATAGATCTTCTCAGAGACTCAGACTGTCAGAGGTACTACTGTCATCCCAAACCAGACCCTCAACACTTCTCACCTTGTGATGTTTCCAAGATTGAGATAGTGCAGGAAGAAGCAGGCTTGAGTCCCTTCTTTCCCCTATCCTCTGCTCAATGTCGAGAGATTCCAGAGTCCTCACCTGCTCCCCACTGTTGGTTTTGGCTGCCCCTGGAAGAAAACACCTAAAGAAGTTAAAGGCTTGCTCTTGAGATAGCTTTTGTTTAGTCACTTTGTCCTGTTGTCCTCTTCTCTATCTGGAAAATGCCGTTCTTCAGCCTGTTGTCTTGTCTCGAAGGCTACCTTGGCTGCTGGCAGCATGATGCAGGCGCACGGAGATTTTGACGTTGCCCTCTCCAAGTACCGGGTGATAGCCAGCACTGCACCTGAAAGCCCCCCGCTGTGGAACAACATCGGGATGTGCTTCTTTGGGAAGAAGAAATACGTAGCTGTAAGCGTCTGGTTTCCTTTCTTTTTAGATCTGTAGCTAACGTCATGCAAGAACAAGATTCCTCTTGTGGCAGAGGCAGGGGCTCTGTTTGGGAGGGCTGTGTTACAGCACATTCATTCCTTGTTTTCAAGGCTGTCAGTTGCCTGAAGCGGGCAAACTACTTGGCTCCCTTTGACTGGAAGATTTTGTATAATCTGGGGTTAGTCCACCTCACAATGCAGCAGTACGCGTCTGCTTTCCACTTCCTCAGTGCTGCCATCAACTTCCAGCCCAAGATGGGAGAGCTCTATATGCTCCTTGCAGGTATGCAATGCTCTGTTATCCAGCTCTGTGTATGTCCACCTTAGGAGATGTAACTCTAGAGATACAGAAAGTTTGGGCTGAAGTAAATGCTGGGTAAAGATTAAACTAAGAAGCTGTTCCCCAGGAGGTGACTGACAGGTATGAAGTCTTAATAGTCATTCTCTCTCAGTGATGAATAGGAAGGTTAAGTTGCAGTCAGATCCAGATTAAGCATTAAAAAAGACTTTTTACACGTTTGAGTTTGTGTTTGGGTTGCCTAAGCAGTGGGTGTGCATTTTCAGGACTGATTTTTGGGGTCAAGTGAGACAAATGTGTCAGAAGCGACATCGTGAGGGTTAATTGTGGCAGCAGTCCCTGACGGCACCTGTTTATTTGATGATGTAATTCCATTCAGAATTGTCCTAAAAATCATAGAATCTCAGACTGGTTTGGGTTGAAGGGAGCTTAAAGCTCATCCAGTTCCACCCCACTGCCACAGGCAGGGACCCCTTCCACTAGAGCAGCTTGCTCCAAGCCCCTGTGTCCAACCTGCCCTTGAACACTGCCAGGGATGGGGCAGCCACAGCTTCTCTGGGCACCCTGTGCCAGCGCCTCAGCACCCTCCCAGGGAAGAGCTTCTGCCTAAGAGCTCATCTCAGTCTCCCCTCTGGCAGGTTAAAGCCATTCCCCTTGGCCTGTCCCTACAGGCCCTTGTCCCAAGCCCCTCTCCAGGTTTCCTGCAGCCCCTTCAGGCACTGGAGCTGCTCTCAGGTCTCCCCTTCAGGAGCCTTCTCTTGTCCAGGCTGCCCCAGCCCAGCTCTCTCAGCCTGGCTCCAGAGCAGAGCTGCTCCAGCCCTCGCAGTATCTCCATCGCCTCCTCTGGCCTCTCTCCAACAGCTCCATGTCCCTCTTGTGCTGCTGCCCCAGAGCTGGATCAGGGCTTCAGGGGGGGTCTCCCCAGAGCACAGCAGAGGGGCAGGATCCCCTTCCTGAGCTGCTGCTCACGCTCTGGGGGTGCAGCCCAGCACAGAGATGGTAGTGAAGTCCTTGTGAAGCATCAGCTTCTGTGTGTACATTTTGTTTTACAGTTGCTCTCACAAACCTTGAGGACATCGAGAATGCAAAGCGTTCCTATGAGCAAGCTGTGGCACTGGACAAGTAAGTCTTGCTGGTGGCTGTCAGTATTTGAGTGCATTGCTTTGCCTCCCTCAACCTGGTTTCCTTTGCATGCTCTGTCCCTGGGTCTGCTTTGACCCTAAAAGGTTTGCAGTGAGGAAACATTTTTATTCCTGCAGTGCTTCAAGTGACAGTTTTAAGCCCACATTTAAAACAAAAAAAAAAAGAAAGAAAACAACCCCAAATTTCAAGTCAGCTCTGAAAAGCTGAAGGGGAAATTTTGTTTCAGAGCAACCCAAAGCTGGTTTCTATTTTGCTGTTTAGTCAGTGAGTCAGCGGTGATGACTTTGGATTCCAGCCTTCCTTTCAGTGAATACTTGTACACAGTGGAGCAGATTCAATAGAAGAAAACCAGCCATTCCCAAATATTTTGACACCCAAAGTCTGAGCATGCTGCGGAGGAATGGGATGCTCTGGGTAAATCCTGTTCTGAATTGGGCAGAGAGACGATTTTTAGTTTGGAGAATGTGGGCAAGAAGTTCATGCAAAGCACAAAATAGGGCAGCAATGTGGTCCTTTCTGCTCCATTTCGTGACCCATCTCTGTTTGCAGTCCAGCTCTTAACGGAGCTCTTGGTTCAGAAGTGTAAAGCTGAACCTCACAGCGTTTCAGAATTTAAGACAGAAACCCAAATTTGTCTCAAATTCTGCCTCTCTCCCCACTTTACTGGGGATATTTGCAGCCACCAGCATGCTGCTCCTGAGCCTGGAGTCTGTGTGCTGGCCACAGGGCGGTGGCAAAAGCACTCTCCATCTGCAGTGGCCACCACAAGGTGGCATGAGAAGGTGCTGGTCCCTTTTCCTCTGTCCTCTCTAACAGGGGTGCCTTGGCCAGGCTCAATTTGGGGAATTCTGGAAACTCCTAAGCCCATTGTAAAGGGCAACAGGTTTCCAAACCCACTGCAGTGCAGTTCTTGTGATGAGGTGCTGTAAATGCTTTCAGACATTTACTGGGAATTACCTGGCCTGAACATGCTGCAGGCATCTGGCGCTGGGGTTCTTCATACTCATGCATCTAAAGAGCTACAAAGCAGGTAGTGCTTTGTAATCTGTTAAAATTAATTTGTTAAAATTAATTTGTTAATTAAATTAATTTGTAATCTGTTAAAATTTGCAAATCTGTTAAAATTAATCTGTTTCGAATGTGGTAGGTCTGTGCAGCCTCCTCCTTGGAACCAGGCCTGGGCAAACTGCTCAAGGCTTTGTACATGGATTGCTGTGGGAGAACGTTTGCAATGGTGTTGGTTGTTCCTACCAACAGCACTAAGTCCAGTTGACTCCTGGCTTTCCTACGCAGCCTTCCAGGCCCAGAAAGGCAGTGCAGGACCTTACAGACTGCTTAGACTGTTATTGTGTGGCTGAATCCCTGTCCCCACAGGCTTTCTTTGCTGGCATATGAAGAACTGCTTGGCTGGGATGAAGGCAGCCGTGTTTGTTTCCATTGCCAGAAGTCCTTGGTTGACATTGGCCTGGGTGCCATGGGTGCCACGGGGACTGCAGTGGAAAGCATCTTGGAAAAACCTTTCAAAAAGCTGTTTCTTCTTAGTACTATGAGTTCTAGCTCACAGCTCTCCTTCTTTCTGGGGTTCTTTAGCTATTGGCTTTTTTCTAAGTGTCAGGTTGCTTCTCAGCTCTTGATGGTGAAGTGGCTTCATGAATTTGAAACTGGCTTTTCCCAGATGTGTCTGGTCTCAGCAGGGTTTTGCTGTGTAGGTTTGGTTTCGTGTAGCTTGGCTTTTTGAGGGAGATGGCGAAGAGATGGGGTTTTGATTGTTTATTTGTTCATGCACTACATCCTTTGCTTTGGCAAAGACATTGAGGAGGGGTTTTGTGGGATGCAGGAGCAGCATTCCAGCTCCATTTAAAGGAAAACCAATGGTTGTAGATGCTCTCAGATTTCTGCCAACAGTCTTTGTTCTTGCAGCACTGTCACATAACTTACTGAGGATGGAGAGTCCTGGGCTGCAGATGTCACTCCTATTTATTGAACAGTGTGAGCAGAAGCTTTCCCTTCCATGCTCCACAAAGGATGCTCTCTCTGGCTTGGTGCTGAGTGCGGGTGCTGGAGTCCTTGGATGGCTCCAGTTATCCCTGCCAAGCTCCAGGAGAGGGCACCAGTCCCTTGCTCACATTTCTTGAGCAAACTGCAAAGCGTCTCTCAGTGACCGGTGTGCGGATACACGGGTTCTTGCATTCCATTTCTGTGGCATATAATACACATACAGTCCAAAATAAGGGTGAGATTCAGGCTGATAAAGTCAGAGCAGTTTGTTGAGTGTGGCTTCTCAGGCAAGGATCAGCTCTCTGAGAGGGTCGGGTATTAATTACAGAGCCAAGGAGTCAGCTCACTCTTCCCTCCGGTTTAGTTTGCTCGCTCCTGGCTATGCCAGAAGAAAAGTTGCTGTTTGGGGTTAATGTGAAGAAAATGGATACTGTAGAAAATAAGAACTCAGGGAGTAATTTTTGAAATCATGACAGAATCCCAGCCTGGTTTGGGTTGAAGGGACCTTGAAGCTCACCCAGCTCCAACCCCTGCCACGGGCAGGGACACCTTCCACTAGAGCAGCTTGCTCCAAGCCCCTGTGTCCAACCTGGCCTTGAACACTGCCAGGGATGGGGCAGCCACAGCTTCTCTGGGCACCCTGTGCCAGCGCCTCAGCACCCTCCCAGGGAAGAGCTTCTGCCTAAGAGCTCATCTCAGTCTCTCCTCTTCATGTGCTTTTCTGCACCAAGAAGGGAGGCACAGGTAACAGTGTTATTTGGGGCTCTGGTCTCCTCTTCGAGTCCTTCACTAATGGGTATCACCTCCTGTTCCTCTGTAACAGTCTGTACAGTTATGTGTGCTTGTACTGGGTGAATGAGGGAAGAAGTGAGGAAAATAAAATGTGACCATCATGTTCTGTAGCATGCTGGCTTGTAAAATACAGACAACAGCTCTGGATAAGTGTTACCGCAGGGAATGTGATGGATCCTGTGTGTCTGCTGCAGGTGCAACCCCCTGGTCAACCTGAACTACGCTGTCCTGCTGTATAACCAGGGTGACAAGAAGGGAGCCCTCTGTCAGTACCAGGAGATGGAGAAGAAGGTCAATGCCTTGAAGGAGGGCAGTACTCTTGACTTTGACCCTGAGGTATGTGCCCCACAGTTGTCGGCAGGAACTGAGCAGCCACACCAAGGCTGGCAACAGCCGAGGAGCAAATTTGACTTTGGAGTCCAGTTCTGGGGAAGAAATTCTGCTTATGAGATTTCCAAGCAGAGCAGGCGCCTGCTGAGAGCTGCTTGCTTCATTCCTGCTCTTTGAAGCCCAGTGCTTCAATCAATACACAGCAAGACAAGATTCCCTCTTAATTAAAGGAATGAATTGGTGGGGATGTTTCCCTCAAGCACCATAGCAGTGGCCAGCTCTGCCATCTCTCGTTTTGTCAGGGGGGTTGTGGTGGTGTTGATTTTACCGTTGGCTGAAGTGTTCCTGTTTACAGTGGTTTCCTCTCTTTGCTTCTTGAGATGGTGGAGGTTGCCCGGAAGATGGGAGTTGCCCTGCAAGCAGGGGAGAGCCTGGTCTGGACTAAGTCTTCTAAAGAATCTAAATCCAAGCAGAAAGCTGCTCTGTCAGGCAAATCCTCCAGCACTCAGCAGCCGCTGGGCTCTAACCAGGCCCTGGGTCAAGCCATGTCCTCGGCTGCAGGCTATGGGAAAACCATGCAGCTTCCCTCAGGTACTTCTCTTTTGCTTCTCTTAAAAGTAGAACTGTGGGAGGGGAAAGGAGAAATCTCTCTTCCTTTGAGTAAAGAGTTACAGCACATGTGTAGGAAGGTATTGACTTGCTTACACATCAGTGATATCAATATTTGGCACTAACTGTCCCGGATTTCTGAGTGAAGGAAGCATGGAAAGAAGGTTCTCTCTGTGGTACATTATACTGTTCTGCTTTGCAGGGGTGCAGAGAGCCAGTGAAATTTCCCTTCCTGTCTGAGCCACGATGGGCAGGACTCCATTAGCACAGGGTTGAGCTCTTGCTCTGGACAGGGGTGGTTTCAGAAACCAGACCTCTTGTCTTCCTTTGGAAGAGCGCAGGAGCTGCCATGCACAGAGAGGTTGCTGGAGAGAAAGGGAATTAAGGACATTCTGAAGCAATTTATCATTCCTGTTACAAAAGTAACTGCAATTGGATTGCTTTGAAGCTGGATTACCTTTTGGTGGTGGCTCCTGGGCTGGAGCTTGCTCAGGAGGTAGTATCAGTATCATCCTTAGGAGCTTTACACTGACAGCTGTCCTTGCTGCTTCTTGCTGGGGCTGGGTAGGAGCATCTCCTGAGCCACCATCATAGCCTGACCTCCTCTCACCCCTTGGCTTCCGAAGAGGAATGCGCTGGGTTCGTCATGGTGATGTTCTGTCACCATCAGTCTTGTTGCCTGCAGACTGAAGCAGGAAAGAGGTTGTGTAATCCAGGCCTCTTGCTCTGCTCCCCCCTAAGGACCTGTTCCACTTCTCGTGCATGGAACAAACTTCCCATGCAGGGAAGACTTAGCCAGAAAAGCTGTAAAATAAAATGTAACAGGAGTTTAGGGCTTACCTGAAGGACCTCATTACCCATATTGGAGAAGGGAGCTGATTCAAATCATCACTTGTCAGCCTAAAGCTAAGCACAGAAACAGATTGAGCATGGCAGTGTCCTGTTTTGATTTTATTCTCAAAGCAGCTACTTGAACCACCTGGAATCTCTCCCTGAGTCTGCTAAACTGTGAACTAAGAATGATACCTGAGTATAAACCAGCTTCAGTGGAACTGTTTTCCTTTCCAAAGCGTGAATTAATGTCTAAGCTTGTACTGACTTACCACAACAGCCCAGCTGAATGAGATACTGGGCTTCCCTTCATCCGAGCTTTGGGTACTGTGAGGTCTCTGCCTCAGTAACTCACAAGAGTTAAGTGCTATTCATAGGCAGAAGAAACCTGAGAGGAACTGATAGTTGTGGTCGTGCTGCCTGGAAGGGCAAAGAGATGAGACAAAACACGTGTAGTCATACAGTGACCGTAACTGTGTTCTCTCCCCAGGTGCTAGAGCTCCAGCCCCACTTGCAAAGTCTCCCTCACTGCCTCTGGAACCAGAACCAGGCTCAGAAAGGAGCCCCAAGGAAACTCCGGCACCAGCAGCGGCTGAGGAGCAGAGGAAAGAGAAGCGCAAGAGCTCCCAGGCAGTGGAGTAGGAGGGACTGTGGTCAGGACGGGCAGGTGCAGGAGTGCTTGCCCTGATCCTCAGGGGCTTCACCCCACTGTCAGTCCCTCTAAATACAGCAGTTCCTGTTGATGATTTTAGCACATGGTCTCTACCTTATCCCAAGGGGTAGTTGCAGCAATCAGAAGAGGTTTCTGTGTAGCTGCTGTTACTGTGGTCACAGCTTACTACAAGAGGCTGGAGGCTGGAGATCCATCTATCCCCAGGGCTGGCAGTCTTCAGGGGTTTGGTGTAAGTCCTCCAGAAGGATGCTGAGGTACCCTGTATGATTAGAAAACCCAGCAGTAGTGACTTAGGATCCTGGACTCCGAAGAGATCAAACCCTTCCAGTGGCTGAACTTGTAAGCATGGAGGAAGCCCTACAGAGGCTGTAGGAAGGTCAGTGGTAATAATGCTCAGAGAGGGGTGAAGGTAGCACCTCACCAGGGCAAGTGCAGAGCAGGAAGCCAGGCTCAAGACTAGCACAGCCTGGCTTACCGTTAAGGTTAAGCTTCTCTGTGGGAGCTAAGCAGGTTGTAAAGCTGACCTATGGCAAGGCATGTGCTCAAGGCTGGCTGTTGGGGAAGCAGCTAGCAGGAAAGTCTGCCAAATTCCTCATTGTGCTGAGAAACAGGGTAAATGAGCCTCAGGAAAGCTCTGCTCATGGGACTGGAGTTCTGCCTTGAGAGTTTGTGTTGCCCAGCATGGGGTGTAAGATTGGTTTGCAGGGGAAAAAATGAGCAAGTCCTTGCAGCAAAGATGATAGGTCAGCCTCAGTGCTGAAAGTAAATTGGTTTAGTACCAGCAGCCATGCTCGGAAGGGTTTAGTTACACCCTCCTGACAGTTCATTTTAGGAGAAATCATTTGCTGCAGCTGCAAGGTGGCAAAGCAGCCCCTTGGTGAGCAGAGCAGGGGATTTTAATGCCCACATGGCACTGGAGGTGCTTTCAAAATGTTTTTACCCTTGAACAGCCCAATCTCAGCCTTCCTCCTCTCTGCTACTGTCAGTTTGTTGCCTCTGGGATTTATCCAGAGCTTGATACAGGTCCTAAACCAACTGTTTTTGGGAACTAAAGGTGGAACCATGATACTTTACATCAAGTATTGGGTTAAGTAGTTTTCCTCATCCTCCCCGCTGCATACTGAGGCATGCAGAAGGCTGCCATGGCTGTGGGAAGCTGAAGCTTCAGGGATCAGTGTTTGCTGGTGAAGCCGCCCAGCTCTTTAAAATGGATTTCCTGCTTTTAGCTCTGTGCTGCTGCCTTGTGTCACTCCACAATTAACAAATCCAGCAGAGGAGGGCTAGTGATGGCAGCTCCTCCATAGCAACAATGGAAAAGCAGCATGACCACGGCCCTGGATACATTAACATCCTTCAGCTGTGCTTTGCGTTAGCTGCTATTATCCAAAATGACATTAATGCATCTTTAGAGTGCAACGAGGAACTAAAGTGCTATCCTGCTCCCTGGAGAGTGCTAGGAGAGTAGGAACCCTTCACTTTCTCCTCTGTTTTGATTGCCAAAACTGCCTGCTTATCTCAAATGTGGCTTTTTCCCCCAGCTGTCCTGTACCACTGGGTTTGTGTCAGTGCAGCTTCAGGGCAGCACTCCTGTAAGGCTTCCCTTGTGCTAGGGTTGAAGAAAACAGGATTTCTTGTGGAGCCCTGGCAGAATGGAACAAAGCCAACATGCAGCAGTGTGAGCAGGTACAGTGCAGCCACTTCAGTCACATTAACCATCTTACCTGGCGAGTTACTGCAGCATGGTGGAGTGTGTGGAGAAGAGGTTAGGATTGCAGAGCAGAGGGGGGCAGGATATGGCAACTCTTAAATCACCCCCAAAGCTTCAGTTCAGGATGTTCTTTCCCAATAGCAATTGATTACTGTGATCTTTTAGTCTTATCACAAAGGCTTTGAAGAAGCTCCAACACAAGGAACAGTGACCAGAGCAGGTTACAGGTGGGTGAGTGCCAGCATTGTCAATACAGGAAGATTTTAGCTCCATCTGCTTATGTCCGTTTGTTTGGCTTTCAGAAGCTGCTTTGCCTGCCCTCTGCTAGTTTGGAAGTTCTGTAAAGGTGTTTAAAACAAATACATATTTTAGTGAGAAGCTTTTGCAGACAGCTGACCAGTTTGTCTATGAAAAGGAGCAGCAGCACCTTGTTGCTTCCTGGATTTGAAGGGAGAAAAGTGAGCTCCATGTCTAAGGAAGCATCTCTGAAGGTGTAATTGTGGTTGGATAATAAACAGAACTGAGGGTCTTTGTCCTGTCCTCTCTCCTCCCCCTGGGTATGGTGATGATGACCTTTGCATACAGTAAATTCATGGTATCTTTATGGAAAGCTTTTCTTATGTTATCTAATGATGAGAATGAGGCCAAACAGTTCTTTCAACTGGAATTAAGCAAGGGCTTTTTCAGCAGGCCTATACTCGCTCATTTAGGGAGTTTGGAAATCACACCTTATGTTCCAAAACCTGTTTCTGGCATCAGCCATAATTCTCATCTTCTCTTTTCGGCCCCTAATTGAAATCTGAAGACTGAAAAGAATAATGAGCTTAGTTTCTAGGGAAGCAGAAACCATCTGCTTCAGGAAGGTTTTCTCCCCGTTTTAGAAAGCTGTATATCCTCCAAGAGGTTAAATCAGTGCTTACAAGGTAGGCTGCAGCTTGACTGCCTCCCAGCAAAGAAACTCCACGTCCCTCAGACAGCAACACTTGGGCCTTGTTTCAGCCAAGAGTAATGATCTGTGGGCTCAGCAGTGCGTGCTCAACCCAGACAAACTGGCTTTGAGGTACCCGAGCCAACGGGCTGCTGATTTATCATGCCCTGCTCCTGTACAGGATCTGGTTTGCCCAGCTGTGTTCAGTGCCAGGCTGTACTGAGCAAGGTGGACCTCGGGTCCTACTCAACCTCCTGTTCTTGTGGAAGGTGTTCAGGGTTTAGACTTCCCCCTTGGGAAGTGGGTTTCCGTTTCTGCTACAGAGACAGACAAGTCTCAGTGCTGAATAAGAAACATAAACTTGACTAAAATAATAAGCTCCACTCATAAATGCAGTACAAAAAGAAGATGGATTATAACTAGTTCATCAGCCAAGAGTTTTATATAGTAGGAAACACAGTTCTGCCACATGGAAAGCTTTAGCACTCTCAAAGCAAACTGCACGAAACCCCAAGCATCAGTGTAGATACAGGTGAGGTTTGAACCCAGTTTTACCCAGGCTGCGCTGATGAAGGAGCAGCTTTCCTGACAAACTCACAGGGGAGGTTTTCGGCGTGCATTTTTTTGTCTCCCCCACTTGCACTTTAATGAGATCCTTCCTCCTCACCACCATTTGTGTTCCTCAGCTGCTGAGAGAGCTCCTCAGGAAAGGCTGATGCCAGGCTCAGTGTTCAAAGTGACAGCGAGCTGTTGGGAACAGACGCCGTCCCGAGCTTCCAGAACAGAAGGTAATGGTCATGCATGCTGTTTCCAACCTGCGCTCCCTCCTTCTGCTGAGAGAGTGTCCTCCCACAGGAGTCTGGATCAGTGACTCCCTGAGGATTCAGTCTGGTCAGCACGAAGGTTCCACCTGAGATGTTACACAAGAAGCTGCTCCATCTGTTACGGAAGAGAACTTCATCTGATGTCTCTGAACAGACCAAAGAGTCATTTCTGGCTTTAAGATCAAGTGTTACTGAAGAGTTTCATCAAACTCAGGATTGCTGAAGCAGAAAGAGACAGGCATGAGGAGAGCAAAATAGGATGCAAATAGGTTTCCTCTGCCCCTTAGCACTGAAGCTTTAAAAACAAAGAGGAAAGACAACCTTTACCATTCTCATTTCTCTCTCCAGTAACCTCACTAGTTCTTGGATGAAGAGCACGAGACAGTCTTTGTTTGGAGTCTGTTCTAGCTGGTTTTAACCAATGGTCTATAAACATCATATTTTATTTAAAGCATAAGCCTTTGGTATGATCACAGGTTTAAAACTCAACTGGGAGCTTTTACCAAAACATTAACTGCACTAAGGAAGAGCACAATTAATACAGCTTGAACCAAACAGTCACACCCAAATGCTGAGTTAATGCAGGATGCAAGAACAGGCCAGCTAAAGCCAGAAAAACATCATGCAGGTTTTGTCCATTTTTCTATGGTTCTTCCAAATGTACTCAGAACTGGATGAGTTTCCCTACAGCAGAAATAGCAGTGCAGCACGCTGTGTGACAGCAGTACTTGAGAGCACTGCTTCAGCACAGACTGCTCCAAGCACAGGGACCAGCAGCCAGTGCCAAGTCTCAACATGGAGAGGGACAGTTTGGCTGCTCACTCCTTGACAACAGACAGCATCAGTGCTCACCTAAGATGCAGGAGCCCAATAAACAACCTTTAGGGTAAGTGGAGTTCACAGAATCCCCGACTGGTTTGGGCTGGATGGGACCTTAAAGCTCATCCAGTTCCAACCCAAGCTGCTAGCTTGCTGTCACAGGGGTGAGCTCACCCATTGCCTCTGCAGCAAACAATGTGGGGAATAAACACCTCCCGTGGAAACCCTTCTGTCCAGAACAGGGCCAGCTGAGGCTGGAGCTAGCCAGCACTGTGGATTTAGAGGTATGAGTAACCCACAAGAACAAACAGTTTTTGTAGAGACGAGGGGAAAGCAGAGATCACTTTAAGGCTGGGGTTGAAGCTTTGGTACTTTTGCAACTGTTCTGTTTCTTCCTGGTGAAGGGAGCTCTGGGGGTTTGCAATCCATTAGAAAAGTTTGTTTAAAAACCTCTCACCTCCCAGTGACTCGGTGTGGGCTTTTTATTGCAAAATACACAACCACAAACCCAGTCAATGGAAATGTCATTGCTTTTTCCCCTTGTACAGACCAAACAACCCTCAGCAGCTATATTCACGTGTGGTGGTCAGCAAGGTCTGATACAGACACAGCAGCTTTGCTTTGTTGTCACTACTGCAGCTGGGCAGCAGTGCGAGGCAGCTAGGGCAGAAGGACTCCAAGAGACTCCACAAGCCATAATGAAGCTGGGGGGTAGAGGGAAGTGAAGTGCATCGTGTTCACAGCCTGTGAAACATGGAGCACAGGCAGGCTGCTGGGCCCTGCCATCCCATCCAGTTTTGTTGTTACATAGATTGTTTCAGGGATAGCAACGGTGTATCCTGAACAGGTCAGGCTTGTGAAGAATTAGCCTTGGTAAGTGAATCTGGGGAGCTGGTGAGGGCTCAAGGCCTGATCAAAGCAGACAGAGACAGAGCAGCAGTCAAGCTGCTGTTGAGAAGTGATTCGGTGCCAGGCATTCACAGGCCAAAGAAGGATTATTACTTGGTGGGAAAGAGCAGAAGCAGCAGGAAGGGTTAGTAATAATCATCATCATCATGAGAGTTCAGCTTCTAGGTCTGGGTGAGTTTTAAGCAATAAACCCCTTCTTCAGACTTGGTTATAGCAGTTGTTCCTTCAAAGTTAACGAAAAGCTGATCCAGGCCTGTAACCCTCCTGTTGAACACAAGAACTTACTCTTGGACAAGTTCTGTTAGTGCAGTTATGTGATTTTAAATGGCTGCAAGTCAACACCAGTCCAATCCACTGGTTTTGGAAGGGAGAAGTGAAATCCAGCAGCAGGCCTGTTGCTGGTGACAGCTTGTGTGTGTTTGGTTTTGTTTCCAACTCAAGGCTCCCCCCAGCCTGGCTCAGCATCAGGAAAGTGGGACCCAGCATAAGCACAGGTCGGTTCTCCAGCTGGCAGGATGCAGGTGGTGACCAGCCTGCCCTCAAAGGTGGCCAAATAACTTTGCAAATGGCCTTGGGCCTTTACAGAGCTGAAAAGAGAAGATCAAATTGTTGCTGTAGGAAGGGTAAAGCAGAACTCCAAGTCCAGTGCTACAGTTTATCAATGAGCATAAAAGTTACTGTGGATAGAAATACTTCCAGCCTTAGGAAGATCCTGCCCCGGGATAACATGCTGAGATGCAACAGAGGATGGGATAGGCTGCAAGAAAACACTGCACTGACTGTATTTCTCATCTGGTACAACACAGAAGACTTTGCTCAGCAGGAAAGCAGCAGTTAAGCACACGGTGACAGGCAGCACTGTGTGCCAAGTCAGTACAACTTAGAAAAGCTGTCGATTTTTATCCTTACAGAGCATTCACAATGGCATTTTCCAACAGGAGAACATCACTGACAGCAACAGGACATGTAGTGAAACAGATCCCTCCAGCCTAAGCACTATGGACTCTCCTTCCTCCATTCAGATGCTAAGACTGACCTCAAGTGACCTCCTACAAATTCTGGTAGGGCCCAGGCTTGTGTAGACACGTTGATTGCATTTAATCCAATTATACTGAGAAAACGTGTATGATAGCTATGCAAACACACTTGAAGTTCCTGCTGGAACCATGCTGGAAAGAGACAAACACATGCTGGTGCTGTGCAAGCCACAGCCTGTGGCTGGAAGGAGTCAGGGAGAGGAGGAAAGGAGACAGGAAAATAATACGCAGGAAGTACTGAACAAGGACATGTGGTTGTACTTGTTTAATGTCAAAGGCTGTCCAGAGAAAAGAAACTCTCAGTGACCCATCAAAGAGGGAAAAACCCATCAAACCCTAAAACAAAGCCTTCCTCACCTTCAGTCTTACCTGGAAAATGATGTCGTGGCTTTTGTGCCTCCAGATTCCCCAGTATAGTAACACTGGAATGGAGGGCAGGGAAACTGAAGAAACTGCACAACCTTTCTCAAGCAACAACGAAACCTTGGTCTCCAGCACTCCACAGCTCTCCAAAATACCAGATCTAAGCACCCACTGTTAGCAAAGAAGGCATTGAGTGCACAGCAACCACAGCTATATTGCTTTGTAGTTTACCCGGCAAGCAAACAAAGCTGTCTCCTCCAATAGCAACCCTGATCATCTTCACTTCTAGCTTCCCCCAAAAACTAAGCACAGGCTGCTAGGGCTCAGCTGGATACCTTTAGTACAGAGACAAGAGATACCCAGGGTAAATGTAGGCAGCCTTGAGCCAGGTTTTGTGGGTGCATGTAAGGAGTCGTGCAGCGTGCATCACATTTTGGGACCCTGGCTCTCCCCAGGGCCGGGGACGCTGGGGCTGAAAGGCAAAAGCTTCCATCCTCCCACCAAGCAAGCAGAAGGTTTGCTCCTGCCACCAGCAAGGGGCTGGGAGGAGATAATGCAAGAGCCTTTTATTTTCAGTTTAGCAGAGGGAAAACAGCGTTCTCCCTGGGATCCGCACCAGGAACTCCTCCCGGCTGCTCTGCTTTCCAGCACTAACGGAACAGGAGCCATTTGGAGTTCCAAACAGGGATTTCAATACTCATTTCCCTCCCCATGTGCTTAAGACGAAGCAAAGCCCATTTTCACATTAAATACCAAAACACCTGCACCTAAACAAGAAGCGTTCAAGTCACTGTCAGTGACTGGAATGTGCTGGACAGTTTATACCTGGAATTGTTCTTTGGCTCTTTTTTCAGTTATATCCAGGAAACCCACCACAACCTGATTCTGTTCCTATACCACCACTGCCTGAAATCCTAACCCATGGTTCCTCAGACACAGTACAGTACTGGAGAAAAGGGAGGGTCTTAGTTTTCTATTGAGGATATGCTTCCGAATACAGCAGTCCTTCAGCTGAAATAGCATCCCCAAGTCCCACGGTCCGGACAGGATCTTTACACACCAAAACAGGAGTGAAATGGAAGGAGATGCCTTCTCGGTGCCAATGCACCACTGGCTCATCTGGATTTATAGAGATTTTGGAAGGTGCCTCTATCTGGGAGGTCACAAACTCCATAGGAGCTTTAAGAAAGACTTTGGTGGTGTCGATGGTTTCGGTGGCGCAGGCCTGAGTCCCTGCTGCTCGAGCTCCAGCAGCCACAGCAGCAGCCTGGTTGCCCCAGTACCCATCCACAGTGGCAAGGATGTGGTAGGCCAGGGTGTGGAAGTGGATCCGTGTGAGATCAGAGGCCCGCTCCGTGGTCTTCCCGTGCTCCTTCAGGATCCAGAAGAGGATGTCGCTGACAATACCCACGTCGGGAATGCCACTCCAGGAAGTGAGGGATGCGTGAGGACCAGAAGCAGCCTGCGTGAGGAACAGCAGCTCCTGTTCATTCAGCCCAATGGAGTTCACCAGGGGAAAGACCTGCTAACAGAAATACAGAAACAACAGTTCTTCCTCCAGAGGGACAGTCAGACTCTGGCCCTCTTCCTTCAGGGGGTTGTTTTTAGCAGTACCCCATCACTGGCTCTGTCACCAGTGCGCCCAGCAGAAAGAGCACCCTGTGTCCTGGAGAGATGCAGGCCACAACCACTGCACAAGCTGCCCCAGTCTGCAGTGTGCAAGAATGACTTAGCCAAGGAAACCTTTCAGAGTAAGGGGGCATGCTCATTTTGTGCCCTTTGAGAGCAAAGAGTAACAACACATGAAATGCACATGAAACACAGGATCCTAACAGTGAGATTAGCGTGTGTCAAACTAAACAAGGAGTCAGCAGGACCTACACGAAAGAAATCCTGCACAGAAACTGAGGGGGTTTTAAGTATTACCGACTCAGCTCAAAGTCACATCCTGGTTCCTTCTAGACAGCTGCAAGCCTGCTGGATCTAAACCAGCCAAAGGAAACGGTATCTGTGGAGTTGCCAGTATTGCTCCTGGGTCATCTTCTCACTGTGACTGCAAAACAGCCTGAGAAAGAGCAGAGCCCAGGTGCATTGTGCCTGTATAGAACCACAGACTGGTTTGGGTCAAAGGAACCTTAAAGCTGATCCAGTCCAGCCCCCTGCCATGGGCAGGGACACCCCACTAGAGCAGCTTGCTCCAAGCCCGTGTCCAACCTGGCCCTGAACACTGCCTGGGGCATCCCTGAACACTGCCAGGGATGGGGCAGCCACAGCTTCTCTGGGCAACTCTGGTAAGCTCAATCGAGAAAAGAGAAGCATTCAGAATGCCACAGCAGACATTAAACCCACGTTCTGCACTTACCTGACATGAACAGCCCTAATTTTAAGTTTTCATTTCTATATTTGTATACCAGTTTGTGCATTTTGACACTGAAGAAAAGGAAACTGATGAAAAGAGCACATCCTTTCGTTTTCCTTACCTGATGCATTATGTTGCTCATAAAATCTTGGTCGGTCATACTGGCCAGCTCCAGGTGTATGGGGATGTCAGTGGGGATGTCAGAGATGGAGGCCACAGCCTACAGCACACAGGGAAATAAAAACAACGACCCTATAATACAAATTAATGAATAAATGGAACAAAGGGGCTCTGCCTCAGAAATCACAGAATCATAGAATAGTTCGGGTTGGAAAGGACCTTAAGATCATGAAGTTCCAATCCCCCTGCCATGGGCAGGGACACCTCACACTAAACCATATCACCCAAGGCTTCATCCAACCTGGCCTTGAACACTGCCAGGGATGGAGCATTCACAACCTCCCTGGGCAACCCATTCCAGTGCCTCACCACCCTTACAGTAAAGAACTTCCTCCTTATATCCAATCTAAACTTCCCCTGTTTAAGTTTTAACCCATTACCCCTTGTCCTGTCACTACAGTCCCTAATGAAGAGTCCCTCCCCAGCATCCCTATAGGCCCCCTTCAGATACTGGAAGCTGCTATGAGGTCTCCACGCAGCCTTCTCTTCTCCAGGCTGAACAGACCCAACTTCCTCAGCCTGTCTTCATACAGGAGGTGCACCAGCCCCTGATCATCCTCATGGCCTCCTCTGGACTTGTTCCAACAGTTCCAGGTCCTTTTTATGTTGACACCAGAACTGCACACAATGCTCCAATAACCATCCTTGAATCCTCTTGTGTGTGGATTTCAACACAATTCCAAATGCCATGTCTGACAAGAATGTACTGAGGGCAAGAAATAAAAACAACTTCTAGTTGTCAGAATTCCAGAGCAGGAAGCCTGTGTCTAACCCTGATCTGCACCCAGCTCAGCTCCTGATGGACTAATTCAGACCCTCCCAAATCTGGAGCAGCTGATCCTAGAACAGAGAATAATAATGCTGGTGTATAGCATCAAGGGCACTGGGCTGTAAGAGAGGCAACGAGCTGTAAGGCAGAAGGAAACTTGTGTAGCTCCTCTGGGCTCAGATAATAAAGCTGCCTCTTGGATTATCTAACACAGATGCAGCTTAAAGAATGCAAATCTTGATTAGAACCTCGATCATCTTAGTAGCTGGGATAGGAAACACAATGTAATTTAACCACCAGTAAGTACGTCAACATACTCCAGCCAGAGAACCAGACCATACCTTTTATCCCCTAGACAGCCCGCTGGATTCAAGGATGGGTATTGGAGCATTGTGTGCAGTTCTGGTGTCAACATAAAAAGGACATGGAATTGTTGGAACAAGTCCAGAGAAGGGCCACGAGGATGATCAGAACCATCAGTGTTACAGGATTAGGCTTTTGCCATTCTGACAGTTCACATCCTTTTAGCATCCAACACTGAAAAGGTCTGTGGCAGATCTGTAGACACAGCCTGCTTTCAAGTTCCAACCTGGGAAAGGAGGACTCTGCCATGGAGCACTTCCTGGCCTGGAAGTTTAGGGAGACACTGCTATTGGAGCATCTCACCTCCATAAGTCGTCTCTGCCGCATCTCCTTGCTCTGGCCTTCCATCATGTGAAGTCCTGAGAGCACCACCAGGTCTGGCTGAAATTCATCCAGGCTGGACACAAACACTTCCAGCATGTTTAAGGCACCATTCGACAGGTCGTGGGAGAAGATGAAGCGGTTGGCATTGGGTGCTCTCACTCGTCCCCACTCTTCACCTGGCGTGAAACAAACAGGAGCAGGTTAACTCAGAAGAGAAGCAAATCAAACCATGTGACTGGAGATAGTTTTGGGGTACCCTGCTGGAACCAAAGGCATGGTGACACAACGTGACTGTGCCCATATGGCCGGCCATAGGAGAAACCTTCCTCTTGCCTTCATTCATTCTCTTCGCTCACTCCCTCTGCCTCATTTAGATGCTTTTTGGATCAGAAGGAAAATTCAATGCTTGGCTGGTTTTGCAAGCTTTGTGATGTTTTAATCAGTTTAGCATGAGATGAGGTGAGTGTCGCAGCCAGCTCAAGCCAAACACTAGGAGCGTGCAGGATGTGCAGAGGGAGGGGAAACCTTGCCCCTTTGGCAGCCACCCCGTGCTGGCTCGGCTCAAGCTGTCTCATGAAGACAGACCCTGGAAACTCATGGCTCTCACTGTACCCAACTGCACAGCTCCCAGAAACGATGTGAGAAGAGAGCCGCATCAGTGGTGGGTGTGTAAACAGGTTTATTCCAGGGCTCCATCTCTGGGACACTGAACCACGAGAAGTCAGGGTACCGACAGCGAGCCTCCAGAGGAAACAATTACACAAGCCATGGTCCAGCTGGGCAGCCCTCTGCCAGCTCTCCCCATCTGCTCAGGCAGTGCCTTGTGCCAGTTGTGATAACTGGTCAGAAAGAAATGTAAGGGAATAAAGAAATGCAGCTGGAACAGAAAGCTCCTGAGGCACAAGCGTTCTTGAGGCTGTTGTAGGTAGAACCTCTACCTCAGATCCAGCCTGCATACTTCTTCACTCACTCTCCCAGGCTGGGTACAGGTTATACTATGGAGAATACGACCAGCGTTTGTGGAAAAGCCACTAACCCAGCATCAACAGCCACGTGTGCTGTTTCCTCTTAAAGAAGAGTCTTGTCTCAAGGACACAGATCCACAGAGTCTCAGGAGAGCAGTTCTCCCATGAGAACAAAGATGCTGAGAAAAGGAGGCATCATATACTAATGTATCATCTAACCAGGAGCAAGATTTACTTAAAGATCAGAGTATTCTCCATTGGCTACGGAGCTACAGTACTTGTTGGTTGTAGTAACCTTGTTTCAGCCAGAGTGGATGCTCTGGGTGCTGCTCCAGCTTAGTTTTGCTGCTAAACAAGTTTAATTACGATGGCTCTTTTGCCTTCCCTCCTTGCCAAATACTCCCTCTTCTGTCACACCAATGGAAGTCTTCTTTACGCTGTATTTTGAGACAGAACCAGTGAAACCATTCAGAACAGCAAGAAAACACACTCGGATTTGGTTTAGCCTTTACATTAGGGCTACCCTGATTTTCACCTGCATGCGGTTAATGGTACCCTTCTGTTTTCAGGGAACATTACCTGACTGTCGTAGTGTTCGTACAGCTTTGGAATGACACCTGTCAGGTCTGAGTAGGCTATGCATTGCAACAAGATCAAAATCCACTTGGTTTCTTTAGGTTATAGTGTACAGAAGCAAAGAGATGTCAAGGCAGCAGCAGGAGTCTGTCCTTACATTCATCATAATGCAAAGGGAGGTTTCAAAAGACTTTTAGATGTCTGTACATGGTCCCGGAATTAAGTGATTCAAACCCCAACAGCTTTAGAGCCAGGAAGGTCTTTGTGATGCCTGGGGTTCCCATCTAACCTAACGTTCAGCCTTTGGCAAAGTACCTGCTTGATATTCCAAGATAAGATGGAATTCATCTCTTTCCTGCATGGATTCAGGTGGCACAACCACGTTGTCATCAAGTAGTTCATGGAGTTTAGGACCAACTGGGCCACAAAGGAGGATCTAGAAAACAAGAATGCTCAATGCAGGTTTCCCTGGCATGTCCCTTGCCACCACTGCCATGCATTTAAGCATCACCTAGACAAGTGAGTTAAAATAATAATAATTTAATTTAAAAAAATTAGCTATGCTTTTCAGCTTGGAAGACCAACCTAAGAAATAACAGCAACATGGAATCAGGGAATCCCAGCCTGGTTTGGGTTGGAAGGGAGCTTAAAGCTCACCCAGCTCCACCCCCTGCCCCGGGCAGGGACCCCTTCCACTAGAGCAGCTTGCTCCAAGCCCCTGTGTCCAACCTGGCCTTGAGCACTGCCAGGGATGGGGCAGCCACAGCTTCTCTGGGCACCCTGTGCCAGTGCCTCAGCACCCTCCCAGGGAAGAGCTTCTGCCTAAGAGCTCACCTCAGTCTCCCCTCAGGCAGGTTCAAGCCATTCCCCTTGGCCTGTCCCTGCAACCCCCAAGTCTACAGGGAAGCAATGGGAGCCTCATTACAGACAAGCAAACAGTGTGACAGTTTTGGGTACCTTCAGGTCTGGATTTGTTGCAAGCTTCTGACCGATGAGTGCAGCGTTTCCTCCCACGTACAGCTGTAAAACAAAGGGGCAGGTATGGGCACTCCCTCGCTTTGATAGCTTTAGACATGCTTAGTTCTTGGTATAGAGATTTTGGCATTACACAACAAAGCTCTTTGGGGCTGAAGGCCAAACAACCCTCTGTAAGTGCTCAGCGAGTGTGCTCTGACTCCTTTTCAATGCAAATCCTCACCTTCAGGTAACAGCCCTGTAAAACTCCATTGATTCACAACACAAACAGCCCTCACGTCTGTGCAGGCTCCCAGCTGGCAACTGGTGGGATTTTAGCAAGCATTTGAAAACTGCAGCAGTTGAGATCAGGGTGCCTGGGCCCACGTGGAGTTTCCTCAGGTAAGAAAGGTCAAACTTTCGAGTGAGAAAACTCCGGTGTGAGCTTTGAAAGCAAAGAATACAGATCAGCATGAGGATCACAGGCACTCGGAGGTGACAGGAAACAGGCTACAGGAGGCTACAGCTACTAATCAGGCCATTCCAGAAAGCCAGTGTAGCCAATGTGGGGAGAAACAAGGAGAGTCTTGACCATTAAAAGGCATTCAGAGTGATTCCCTATTTCCAGAATGGGAACTTTCCAGGTGGTGAACTGCACAGAAAGTGGCATTTAAGCAGCCTGTAGAAAGTAACACCAAGAGAGGGATCAGTAGACCCAGTATAAATTAAAGCAACGAAGCTTTGCTTTTGGAAAGGGAGACTTCAGAAATAGTATATTTAGTGCTTTTCATGAGTCCTAGAGAGAACTGAAATCCTGGGTTACACAGAGCTGAAGCTGATCGGAGCCTTTACAGCTCCTAATGCCTGGATCTATTTCCTGTCACATCATGACACGATGTCAGAGCCTCCTGGAGAGCATCACTGGCTCCCGCATCACTTTCTTACAGAAGCACCTTAGACTGACATTTCAGTCTGGGGAAAGCAAGCAGGGGACAGACCACTGAACCCCTCCTGTTGCAGCGGGTGCAGAGGTCTGCAGGAAGGCAGGAACGCACTCAAGCTGTACCATCGGTTTCCTTCCTAAATGCCTTTGTACCCTCGCTAGACAGAGCTCGGACGTCACCGCCGGGGCCCAAACCAAAGGTGCTCCTCAGAGCTCCTCCTCAGGCGGGACGCACCTGGGCCCCGGGGTGCTCGGAGGCCGTGCGGGCGATGCGCTGGAAGGACTCGGCGTCGCTGAAGAAGCGCTCGGCAGCCGCCCCCTTGTCCATGAAGTGAGCGAACGCCTCCCCCAGGTCCCGCCGGGAGCTCAGCACCGCGTGATTCTTCCCGTCCCCGGGCTCCACACCCAGCGCCTCCAACAGCTTCACACCGGACAGGACCACGTCCACGCAGGCATTGACGCTGCAAGACAGGAAAACGCAGCCTGGGCAAAGTGCACCCACCCCGCGGCACTCGGGAGGGGGTATGAGCAGAGCACCCCGCAGCCAGCAGTGTTTGCTGTTGGCAGCCCTCAACCTGAGGGGCAACCCAACCAACCACATGAAAAAGAAGCCCGCAAGGGCACGCAAACTTCCTGAACCTCTCTACTAAAGCGTTCTCTTTTTGACGTGGTTTTGTCGTGCTGCAGCACCACGGAGCACTGAAGGCTCTCTCACATCCTGCCAAGCCGTGCGGTCCAAAGGTGGGTGCATCTGGGACAGCATGCGTTGTACTTCATTTGCTGCCTGAGGCTTGCTCAGAACAAGAATAGCGGGTTTAATTCTTAAAGAAGCTTCTAAAATGTCACAAATCTTGGGTTTGAAATGTGCATGCAATTCCACACTGTTCAAAACAAAATGAAAGGACTGAAGGCTAGATCAGCCTCCTGAGTTTCAACTGCTCTAGACGATAAGCACGGCACCCCCCTACAAATACCCCTCACATAGGCTGGTGCTGTTTTTAACAGGTCTAGAGAGCTGTGTGTCAGTTAAACACCTGAAAAGTGCTGTGTCCAAAGGAACATCCTGAATCTCCATAACCAGCACAGCACCTTCCTTCAAACCATGCAGGCAGGAAACCAGTCCTGCAGCAGTCAGGGAGCAAGAACAACTGTTTCAGCAGATCTGGGCTTTACCTAAAGTCTAAGCGGTGCCTCCATTCTTCCAGTCCCCAGTTCTTATCAATTACATCAATTTAAACACAGTCTGATTCAGACCAGAGAAGCAGGAAGTTTCTGGGCTGGAACCAGGCTCCCCAGAAAAATGTTTATGAACACTTGTCCTTGTTTCTGCTCCTTGGTTTCAGAGAGATACCAGTATTATAGAATCACAGAGCGGTTTGGGTTGAAGGGACCTCAAAGCTCGTCCAGCTCCAACCCCCCTGCCACAGGCAGGGACCCCTTCCACTAGAGCAGCTTGCTCCAAGTGCCTGTGTCCAACCTGGCCTTGAACACTGCCAGGGATGGGGCAGCCACAGCTTCTCTGGGCACCCTGTGCCAGCGCCTCAGCACCCTCCCAGGGAAGAGCTTCTGCCTCAGAGCTCATCTCAGTCTCCCTCAGGCAGGTTAAAGCCATTCCCCTTGGCCTGTCCCTCCATCCCTTGTCGCAAGCCCCTCTCCAGGTTTCCTGCAGCCCCTTCAGCTCTCAGGAGCTGCTCTCAGGTCTCCCCTTCAGGAGCCTTCTCTTGTCCAGGCTGACCCAGCCCAGCTCTCTCAGCCTGGCTCCAGAGCAGAGCTGCTCCAGCCCTCGCAGCATCTCCATGGCCTCCTCTGGCCTCGCTCCAACAGCTCCACGTCCCTCTTGTGCTGCTGCCCCAGAGCTGGATCAGGGCTGCAGGGGGGTCTCAGAGCACAGCAGAGGGGCAGGATCCCCTCCCTGAGCTGCTGCTCACGCTCTGGGGGGTGCAGCCCAGCCCACGGGGGCGTCTGGGCTCAGACACACACTGAAGCCAGGTCATAGGGAGCTGCTCCTCACCCAACACCCCAAGTCCTCCTCAGGGCTGCTCCATCTGGTCTCCCCCAGCCTGTGCTTGTGCTGGGATTGCCTGACACAATACCAGCAGTTACTAAGCATCTTCCAGACGTGCGGTCCAGTGCAGTTTCTGCTCCTGTGCCCTGCGCTTCCCGGACAGGGATCCAAATGATGTATAGAAGTTTTGCAGGATCTCCGACTGCATCTATGCCCCCAGGCACCCCTGACGCCAGTGCCTGCTGATGTGTCAGTGTGAAACACGCAGCCATTTATGATCCCTCCTTGTCAGTGACCTTTCATGTGTGATCTGGGCCACAACACGAAGGCCACAACACACAAAATGAAGGACATTAAAACCCCTGCAGGTTTTTGTACCCGAGGTAACAGCTCAGAGGCCCTCTGTACCGTGCATCATCTCATACGCTATGGAGAGGAAAATCCCCTCTCCCGGTAAAGAATAGAAAACCAAAGAAAGAATGAGCTCAAGCAGCACTTTACCCCAAAGTCACTGCAAGAAAAGGCCAGCGATTTGATATTTTAATGAATCATTAAGGGGGCATCACCAAGTCAGGCTTCTTTAAGTGAGAGACCTCTAATCCTCTTCAACTGTCTTCTCTCTCCCTGCTGTTCCTCCGCTAACACCCTTCATGCTTGACTTATCTCCCTTAACAGCAGAGCTACGCCACTAAGGAGCCGTGTTTGCTGCTGAACCTTAAGGCCCCAAGTGTTTGTGCTGTGTGTATAAATCATACCCGTGTTCGACCGCTTCAAACCAGCAAAGAGAACAAGGATTAAAATGAAGATCCTCGGGTCTTTTCCAGCGAACAGGACTACGCGGAGCAGTGCAAAACCTGCTCTGTCCTGCATCGACCATGACACATGACAGACTCCAACTAAAGCTCTGCAGCCACGCCGCCATCGAGGCACACCACCTCCTCCAGCGCCTGAAGGCCCAATCTTCTGCTCAAAGCCAACGTATCCTGTCATGGCCTTGTGTTTGGGAAACAGTGAGTCAACGTTGCATGCAACGGTCAATGTGATATTCCCTAACTTCCCTGGTCCTCTTCCCACCTTAAAATGAGGATGGGGCACCCGCCACCTTCTCCTCTCCCTTCCCTCCTTTGCAGCCTGGCTCCATGAGCTCTCCCCTCTTACAAAGTCGTTATGAACTTGTCTCTCATATACACACACACACACGCACATACACACGTGCACACACACACACACATCCCCATACACACACACATACCCCCATACACATACACACGTGCACACACACACACATCCCCATACACACACACATACCCCCATACACACGCGCACACACACATACACCCATACACACACACATGCGCGCTCACACACACGCACACACATACACGCACCCATACACCCCCATACACACACCCCCATACACCCATACACCCACACCCCCATACACACCCCCACACACACCCCCCATACACACACACCCCCCCCCCACACGAGGGCACACACACACACACGGATGTACGACACCACAGCCCGCCCCGCCGCCAGGGGCGCCCTCCCCTGCCCGCCGCTCCCCTCCCCGCCGCCAGGGGCGCTCTCCCCCGGCCCCGCCGCGCTGCCCGCACCTACCCGACGGCGACGCGCGCCCACCCGCGGGCTGGGCGGACGATGGCCGCCTGCCAGGCCGACACCATGCGGCCCTCGAGCGAGCCGGCGCGCCGCAGCGTGCCCAGCAGCGAGGCGGAGAGGTGCCGCAGGGCCGGCGGGGACAGCTCGGGGCCCAGCAGGCAGAGGTAGCCCAGCGCCAGGGCCAGCAGGCCCACGCACACCGACCGGTGCCACATCGCGGCCTACCCGCCGCGCCTGAGGAGGGACGTGACCAGCCGGGGCCTCCTTACGCCGCCTCCGTAGCGCCCCGCCCCCGCCGGCCGCTGGCTGTTGTAGAGCCGCCTCGGGGATGGAGGCGGGATTTGCGCAACCAGCGTACCGTGCGGAGGTAACGGCGGTGCCGCCTGCGGAGCGGCGTACGGGAATCGGGCGGGAGGCGGAGGCTGCGCCAGCGCCTCGTGAGGTGAAATGGCGGGGTCCGCGGGTACCGCGGAGCCTCAGGTTCTGCTGGGGACGGAGCAGCCCCGGCGAACCCGGCAGCGGAGAGCCGGTGCTGGGCCGAGAGCCTTTCAGACTGGGCCAGCAGTGCGGAGGGAAAGCCTGTTAGGGCATCGTGCCGGCAGCCTCCCCTGTACTGGTACCAACACTCTCCCCTCGTTTGGCTTCTTCCTTGTGGTGCCCCTTTTCCTCTGTCCGTTGTCGCCCAGCATCTTTGTGGGTCTGTGTATTGTATTTCCATTCTGCCCCAAGCACAGCAGTGCCTCTGTCTGACCAGCTCGTGTTCAGCAAACCAGCCACTGACCTGAAGCTAATCAGTGGCCATAGTATATATTCTTCCTTCATAGTGTAGTTTCTGGCCTTGTTCTCTCTCATACCTTCTCCCAGGTTGACTTCATGGGCTCTCTAACCATGCTGCTCCTGAGGCAGGCTGTGCAGGCTGCAGCAGGAGAGCGCACCCTTTGCAGCCCATTGCAGAGGTGGTGTAGCAAGTCGAAAGGGAGGATTCCCTTTTTAATCAAAAGGAGTTTTTCTGGGCTTCTTTAGAAGTAATAGAAACATTACTTAAGGCTTCTGACAGGATCTGCAAGAGTTTGACAACTGCGCACCACAGTGCGTTGGCTGAGGCAGCTGATAATTTCCTTATGCAGTGCTGTGTTGTGAGTGATTGTCATCTCCTTTGACTCTGACAAAACAAACACTAAAGGAGATGGGTTGGCGGAAGGCTTTGTGTCGATGTTTTTCTGTCTGGGATGCAGGGTCAACAGCTGATGTACAGCAGCCGTTCTGGACTCATGTCTGCCCCTCGGGGGTTGTTTGGCTGCCCATCAGGTTCTGTCTCTTGCTGGTCCTTACCAAAGAGGGCTTCCTCATTTAGCTATGATTTTTCTGTTGTGTGAAGTTGCTCCTCAGGGCAAGTGAGGACTGAGGGTGCAGAGCGAGCAAGACAGGCCAGGCGATGGGTGCTGGAACTGCTGGGGAAGGAGAGAGGGGGAAGACCCCTTGTCACTAGCATTGGATAGTTTTTATAGGTACACAGACTGGTTTTATGGGTCTAAAGCATTATGATAATATAATGATCTTTAAGAACAGAATGCTTTAAAACAAAGTAGAGGCCTAGCCACCTTCCCTGTTCTTCAGGAAATCCTCAAACACTCCGTTCTCCCCAGATAACTCCGTGCCGAAGTGCCCTGTAAAGGAGTGATTATCTTCATCTCCTTTCAGACCAACATTCAGCCCACCAGAGTTAGTCTGTTAAGATGTAATCCCCTTTTTCCTTTGCTCAGGTGGTCTTTGAGTTTTGTCAGTAGGCTTTTTCATTTGAACAAATTTACTCTTTCTTTCCCTTCGGCACTTTTCCTGCTAACCTTTGATGTGTATGTGATTATGAAACCTCGCTCGCTTCTGTGCTCCAGCTCCCCTGGGGATAGGCCTGTGAGGCTCGCACAGTTATAAACAGCCCTCCCGTTCAAGCAGGCAATGCTATGCTGGTTGAGAACAGAGCAAATACCTGCCAGAGCCCCTCGCTGCTCACTGCAATCAGGTCTGCACCTGTGGGAATGGGTGTATTTATAGCCTTGTCACAGAACATCATAATCAGACATGCCCATAAGGCAGCCACGACACAGCGCCGTCGCAGCTCGGGGACCCCATTATTAGTACCATGTCATCAGAAGGTTAGGCTGCAAGCAGATAACCTAGCTAATACAGCAGTGCTTTGGGGAATTAAGCCATTTTGGGGTGATTAGTTTTTCACTTGATGCTAATTCAGTGTTCTGCATTGTTGCACTGAAGACTGAAGTTGTCCTTATTCCTGCCAGGACAGATAGAGTCTCCACATCAACAAAATTGAAGCTGCTCAGGAGGAACAACTGCTCTCCATAAACTGCTGGTGTTCAGTCTGCATGCACAGTTCTGTCAGAGGACTTGAATGGGACTGCAAGGGTAATTGAAAGATTTATGAGCCAACAGAAATAAAAGGCTGAAAAAAAGAAAAGAGGTTCCCTCGGAGAACATGTTTGGTTAAAGAGCCAAGCAACAGTTTCTCAGTTGACATTTGTTTTAAGCTGATGTAGATCTAGATTTGCCTCAAACAGCTGAATTAGCGGTAAAATGACAGCTGAGAAGTGGAATTGAGCTCCTTATTTCCTTCATCTGAGCCACCCAGGGCCCCACTAATTTTACTTAGAGGTAACAGAAACGGACACAGGGCTCTTGGATTCACAGGAGTTCACATGGGCTGAGTAAAAGGTATTAATTAAATACCTGTTTAATTATGGAAGTAGCAAGCTGCTTACTTCTGGTTCAGTGCTGTGTGTCATTTCAAAGATGCAACATGCTGGTTTCAAGGGGTTTTGCAGGAATATTTTTATTAGAAGCATAGCAAGAGCAAACTAAGAGTTAATGGGGTTTAGAATGCAAAGAGTTAAATCAAAACTTAAATGTCAACAGTTTTCCTTTGTTTCTTCTCCCTGGTTATATGAAGCCTTTTGTGTAAGAAATCCTTTTCTTGACACTGTTTCATGGTATGAGCTGCTTGTGACTGGGGTGGGGGGGGCGGGGGGGCACAGTGGGTTTAATCAGTCTTCAGTTATTGGAAATGGAGCTTGTTCCCTTCAGCAAAAAAGAAAAAAGGCGAAAAAAGACTTTGTCTGCAGGAGGCAGACAAGAGAGACGTTTCCAGCTTGTTTGAAATTCAGCTATGGAGAGTTGCTCACATGGCACATGCTCTCAGCAGCCGCTTGGAGCTAATAGATGTTTGTGTGGGAGCTTTTTAATGACCTCCCTGAGCTTGCTTTTCTGACCACAGGCTCTGGTTTGAGGAACAGGGGTTTGCCAGGAGCTGGTTAGGCAGGAAGCAAGAGGAAAGGGGATGAATATATGGGCAAGGGAGGGGTAGAAGCCAAAGCTTCCAGTTCCCAAAGGGGCTATGAAGACTTGTTTTTCTTAGTTGGAACTCATAAGCTTGAAGCAATTGTCTTTACTCCTTGGTAGGCTGAATTTACATACGCAAATGAGCTCATTCCCTTCGACCTACTTTGTCCAGCTTAAAGGGTAGAGGCCTGTGCCCAGGGTGGAAGGGGAGGGGTTTTCTCCAGCTATGAATTCCTTTATTGTTTCTGAGGTTGGCCATGCGTGTCTGCAGTGCTGGGATGGAATCTTTAGCTGTAGCTAATAAACATCAGGCAGTACTTGGGGTAGGATCTGCATTACAGATGCTTCACAGTCCTGTTACCTCTTGTCCCTCCAGCACTCCCATTATGTTGCTGCTTCTCTCTTGTTCCCTGGGCTTCATGAAGTCAGTTATTCCAGTTTTGTGTGCCCAGCTCACTCACCCATTTGTCATGCTAAAATCTCACAGCCTCCTGTCTTTGATCACAGGCCTCATTTGGTCTGAGTTGGAAACTGAAAGTGGGAACCGTGTATCAGTCCATATACATGAAATTAGTGTGTACATGTCTGCTGCTTTACATGTCTGTTGCTTCACCCATGATGTTTGTTGGGAGGCAGCAGCAGGATACAGGGGTGAGAGTGGTCGCTACCAGCATGTCTTCACTGGGGGAGGAGTGGGGAAAAGTGGAAGGTAGGCTTTTTGGATGAATCCTAATAAAGTCCTGGAAAATTCAGAAGATGAAAGTTTGTGCTGAGCCATGCAGATGAGCAGAGGAGCTTTGATTAAAATACAAACTCTGTGTTGTTTTCAGAAACTGGGCAACATTCCCCATCTGCGCTCTGCCAATATATCTCAGTCCTGGGCTTCAACACCCACTGCTGCTCTGCTCCATGAGACACCCATTCAGCTTGGCCAGCGTATCTTGATCTTGGGCTGTAACACCTCATGCTGTTCCAATTCTGGGCTCTTTTTGAGCAGAAAAGGCCACTTCTCTACTAAATTGTGCCAAATTGCTTAGTTTTGGCCACAGAACTCATTTTCACTTGTCACCTAATGGGATACCTAGAGACTTTCATCTAACACTGTCAGCAACAGAGGAAAAAGAACATGGCAATACGCAGCCCCCTGCTAAGTCCCCTAATTATATAGTGATGTGTTAATAACAAACACACTTTCATGTCTTGGCAGTTGCAAAACTCCTCAGTAGTGCAGTGCTTCAGAAGCAGAATCACACAGGAGAAATGCAAGTCCCAGTTTAAATTCCTTAATTAGGATCACCAGAGACTGTGCCCAGAATTGGAGTCTGGAAGAAGTGCCTGGTGCAAAGCTGTCACATGCCAGTTGTTGTTTGGATGTTCTGTAGAATCTGAACCACCACATCAGAGAGATTTGCTGTTGCAGAAGCATTTCTGCACAGAGAATCTCTTCTCCCACCCTGCCTCACGATTATAACTCTGCCTTCTTGGAGGCCTTGCCATCTCAATTTGTTCAGAGAACTCAGCAGTGGGAGGTGGTACAGCTTCCATCTTGGCTGAGACACCGCGGCTGGAGCTGGGAACATCCACACCCCAGATGATGGGTTTCTTTGAAGCTGAGCCAAGTTGCTGGATTTTGTAGTGCTGGTGGGTCAGAGCCTGGGGTGATCAACCTGGCTTCCAGCAGAATACACAGAACTGGGGCAAGTGGGAGCTACCACATGTGCCAGTGAATTTGAGTTCATGGCAGGGACTGCTGGAGCTCAGGAGCTAGTTTCTGGAGCAAGCAGTTCAGGTCAACAGGCATGGATGAAGCTGAAAGCTTGGAGGGGAAGAAGAGAGGTTGGGGAGTGGACAGCTTTGGTATGAAGATGGCTTGACTGC